GTCACCGTCATTTTATTAAAAAAAAATTATCGATCACAACTTTTAACATACGGAATTTTATACCTTCGAATAGTTGATTATCTCGTAACCACTGACGGCAAGCCAAAACATCGTTCATAAAACATCGCTCATGAAGAACCATGTTTATGAACGATATATCAATATTTGAAAGAATTTTTGTATCGTTTTCATCCCTAGTCATGCATCGAATAAGTGCCCTAACTCCCTTAGTGTTACTATTATTACACTGCACGGTGGCAAGGACACTGCAGACCTGGTCCACTTTGACGCTTTAATTAGGGACCCTTACTCCCTTTCTCTTATTATACCACCCTCAGGGCATAGAGACCCTGATTCAGGGTAGTGTATTAGGGGTATAAACACTTCGTCATCTTATGACCAAGTGGAACTTCTGGAAATATAATTTATTTCTAATAAAAAGTTGTATTTTGTTTTACATTGACACGGTGATATACACGATAATTTAAAAATAAATCTAAGGCGGGTAAGGTTTACAATTCGGTCGCCTGAATTACGGGCTGGGGGGTGGTGTGGGGGAGGGAGAGGAGTTGTAGAGTCACCCCCTACTTCCACTTTCTACCGGACGAGCTTAGTTTTTTTTATAAATTTTTAAAAATCTCATTTTGAGGTTATATTTCGTAATTGTTATGACAATTTTAACCTGATTTATAGGGAGAGATAGTTGGGGGACGAAAGCCCCACGCCACTTAACGTGGTGCAGTCGAGGGAAGCCCGGTCGACGGAGCTCCTACTTCTGAGTGGTTTACAAAAAAATAACCACGAAGGGAATGACGGGGTCTATTTGCTCGCTTCGCTCGCTCACTCGACCCTGTCATCCCCTTCTAACCTAACTTGTCCGAATCGGGGTGCCCCACGTCCTAGCCTCGCTTCGCTCGCTATTGCACCCAATATAACACCAAAACATTAACTTTTATAACTACTTTAATTTACAAACATAATTTATGGCTGCCACCATTTGTAAGAAAGGATCTTTGCGATATTTAGCAGTATTCCGCCGCCACAAATATTCCACTATTCACCAAAATTATGAGACTCTGAAGCAACGGCATGACGAAGAACTGGCCGGCCTAACGATTAATTTTACACATTTTTAAATCGATTCAAATCGAAATTGAATGAATCGATTCACAAAAAATCGAAATCGTAAAGATCGATTTCGCAAAAATCGATCTTTTTTGATTTGCATTATCAAAAGATACAATAAAGTACAGATAACATTGAATGATTGAATTAAAAACTGTCATTCTTTACGAGTTAGGGTATATTCAACTAATTGTAAATAATTTTACAAATCTTAATAAAACAGTAAAAGTTTCGATCTCGATAATCTAGGGTGAAATATCGATTCACTAGATCGATTCAGTACTATATATCGATATGACATTGACAGATGAAACGTCAAAAACGTAATTAGGTAATTAGTCATTTACCAATATTTTTAAAAAATAATTAAAAATATTTCGACGCTGCTCGGGCAGCAAAAATCGAGTGGGGGTGCTTCAGATAAACCCCCTTGACCCACCCACAGTGACGGAATCTTCAAATTCAGGCGACCGAATTGTAAACCCAACCCTCTAAGGCAATTGTATTTCATCATTATCATTATCATTACAGCCATTCACAAGTCCACTGCTGAACATGGGCCTCCCCCAAGTAATGCCACAAAGCACGGTCCTGAGCCACCTGCATCCATCGACTTCCTGCATGTCTTACCAGGTCGTCACTCCATTTATTAGGGGGTCGCTCTACACTACGCCTACCGGTACGAGGCTGCCACTCACCACTCAAGAAACTTTCTTCCCCATCGGTTATCGGTTCGAGCTATATGGCCGGGCCATTGCCACTTCAGCTTACTAATCGGTTGGGCTATGTCAGTCACTCTGATTTTACTGCGGATATCCTCATTTCTGAGTCTATCACGCAGAGAAACTCCAAGCATAGCCCTCTCCATAGCTCGCTGAGCGACCTTGAGCGTCTTCATACAGCCAGCAGTGAAGGACCACGTCTCAGATCCGTAAGTCATCACTGGCAACACGCACTGGTTGTACAATCTAGATTTCAGAGATTGAAGTATACCTGACGAGAAGATGTGTCGTAATTTCCAGAACGCTGCCCAGCCGAGTTGAATCCGTCGATTGACCTCTCGGTAAAAGTTGGACTTACCTAGTCGGACTATTTGTCCCAGGTAAACGTACTCGTCAACAACTTCGAGCATAGTGCTCCCAACAACTAGCGGCATAGGTGTGACATGGACATTAAACATGATCTTTGTTCTGTTCATCTTAAGACCTATGCGTTGGGAGGCACTATTGAGGTCATTGAGCAGAGTGCTTAAGTCCTCCAGTGATTCCGCCATAACGACTATATCGTCGGCAAATCGAAGGTGAGTGATGTACTCGCCATTGATGTTTATACCGTATCCTTTCCAGTCCAGTAGCTTGAAAACGTCTTCCAATACAGCGGTGAAGAGTTTCGGGAATATAACGTCACCCTGTCTTACACCTCTCTGTAGTTGGAAAGGTTTCGAACTCTGGTTCTGTACTCGGATAGCCATCGTAGCCCTACTTACACCAAACTTCTATACGACAGTCAAATTGGCACCGCTGAAGGGACTGTAGCAACGCAAAAAGTTCGACTTTTCGATTTCGACGGAATCAAAGGCTTTCTCATAGTCCACATATGCTAGGCAAAGTGGCAGATTGTACTCCTCGGTCTTCTGTACAATCTGCCGCAGGGTATGTATGTGGTCTATGGTACTGAAGCCTTTTCGGAAACCGGCTTGTTCGGGAGGCTGGAAGTCGTCGAGTCTGCGTGCAAAACGATTCTCGAAATGTAATATGACTCTCTAATGACTCTCGAAAACAGCACATAGATGCGGCTCAGAAGGGAAATCGGTCTGTAGTTCTTCAAGAGAGCGTTGTCGCCTTTCTTAAAGAACAAGACCACCGCACTTCTGCTCCACGCCTCCGGAGTAGTGCCTCCATGGAGGACAGATTTGAAGAGCTTCTGAAGGACTTCAAGTACCGGGGTTCCATCCGCTTTCAGAAGCTCCGCCGTAATTCCATCCTCGCCTGGGGTCCTGCCATTTTTAAAGTGCTGGAGAGCCATTCTAATCTCGCTTAGACTGACGTCTAGGATATAGTGTCGGATAAGACTTGCTCTTGGATCGTTACTCACACTTGCATGTGGCTCCAACGATGGTGTGTACAGCTGCCCATTGAACCTCTCAATCTCACTCAAAATCTCAGGTGTCCCGGAAACGATGCTGCCCCACTCAGTTTTCAGCTTTAACAGTTGACTCTTTCTGGCAGACAGATCTCTGGCAAAGACTTTGGCCGTTGTAGTTGTTTTGCCGTGTAGTGGCAGTTAAGAATATCCACTACCCCGTATCTTCCCGTGGGTGTCGTAAAAGGCTACAGAGGGAAACAGGTAGGAGATGGGCAGCAGCATCTCCTGATAACAGCAACTGTACAACAAAAAAACTGCAGTTGCCAACCCGCTCGCCAGGCGTGGCAACTATGGCAATATACCCTCCATGAAGAATTACACAAATAGATGGCCCCAGTCCCCGGTGGCCCTGCTATTCCTGGCTACGGTGGCGACCATGGTAACGTCGCGACAGGGGGTGCTAAGAATCTCCGATGGAGGTTCGGTTGGCACCTACGACGACTCGATCTGGCAAAATTTAACACACGAACCCTGAGGACTGACGAGAAGATCCTGGATCTGGAAGAAGAGATAAGCAATTTGCGCTGGAATGTTATAGGATTATCCGAGGTTCGAAGAGAGGGGAGTACACGGTGATTCTCTAATCAGGGAACTTGTTCTATCACCAGGAGGGTGACCATCTGTCCCAAGGAGTGTTGGATTTATCGTCCACGAGTCTCTCGTTAACAACGTTTTAAAGATTGGGAGTATATCGACAAGGGTTGCGTACCACAGAATCACCAAATGGTATTCGCTGAAGGTTATACAAGTTTACGCGCCAACGTCGGAACATCCCGATGAGGAGGTGGAGAAAATGTATGAGGATATTTCTAGAGCCATGCATTACGCCAGAAGTCACTATACGGTGTTAATGGGAGACTTCAACGCAAAACTGGGCACAATAAAGAACGGTGAGCTGAAGTTAGAGAAATTTGGGATAGGGCAACGGAACCCAAGGGGCCAGCAGCTGGCCGACTTCATGGAGAAAGAGGGACTTTTTATGATGAACTCTTTCTTCCAGAAGCGGCCCCACAGAAAGTGGACCTATCGAGCTCCGACGGTTCGACAAAAATGAGATTGGCTTCATTATGACGACCAGATGCCAACTGTTCAGTGATGTCTCAGTGATCGTAAGGGTGAAAACTGGCAGCGATCACCGAATGGTTAGAAACACACTGAACCTAAACGTTAAGTTGGAGAGGCCAGAATCCCAAAACCTTTCAGCTCGAGTTACGTAACCGCTTTCAGTGCCTATAAGACTGCAATGCAGTGGACGATATGAATGATAAGCTCGTGGAAACTGTCCATGCCGTCGGAGCTAAGTTCTGCAAGACCCACCGCAGAAGAACACAAAAACTCTCCGATCACACTCTTAATCTCATGGCTGCAATCGTCAACAGACTTGACAACATACAGGCAACTGAACAGACTGATCTCCAAATGCACTTACGCAACTTTAATACTGCTCGTGTTAAAGAAGCGTGCGAGCGGAACCAGGCTTCCAGAGATCTGTCTGCCAGAAAGAAAAAGTAAGAAAGAAGTATTTAAAATTTTAGTCTGCTGACAAGGTAGTTTGCTAGTTTGCAATTTTCTTCTGGTAGCACTGCGCGCTTACACAACCATAGACTAATATATAACTGAACCCATTGAACCACAGGAATACCCATGTTGCGTTTTCAAAAAGATAAACATTATACCATATTTTATTAATCCTATAGTCAATTTATACAATACTTTTAAAATATACAATTATGAAAAGTAAGTCGCTTGAATTGTTGAAAAACGAACATAGTGTGGAAAATAATAAAACATTTGACTTTGTAAGTTTGTACAAAACTGCTGCAGAAACAAATGTAAAATTATTAGAAAATGATAAATTGGAGCAAAAATTGAAAAAGAAGAAAATTAAATCAGATCGTGAAAATCGGCCTCATAAGAACAAGAAAAAAAGTAAGAGTAGACCGGATGACATTTCTCAAAATATTGATCCAAGCGAAAATGTGAGTAAGTCGTCGCATAATGAAATTTCTAAAATAACCTCCTCCCCAAACAATGGTGAAAAAAAGAAAAGTGCAGTTGACATAAAATCAATAATAAAAAGTTCAGATGACTCTATGAATATACCTGAGGCTAGTTTATCTGACAGTAAACCGAAGAAAAGAAACAAAACTGTTAGTTTTGTACTGGATGATAATGAAGAAACTGCTGTAAAAAAAACTAAAACTGATAATTCTGCAGATAACAATAACACAGTTCAAAGTATAAACAAGAATAAGAAAAATAAGCTTAAGAAAATTAACAAAAAGAATCTTGGTGAAAAGGAAAATGATGATGAAGCTTATCATCCCAAATTGGATAACACGTCAAATGAAAACATAAAAAAGTTTTCAGAAAAGCATAGCATAACCTCCGAGTCAGGAAAAACACATGCAGATCTTGAGCTTTCAAAGTTCCTAGTTAAGAAAAAGGCCAATAAAAAATTTAAGAAACATCAAAAGGAAAAGGAAACAGGAAACAGTGAAGATGAAAATAAAATTACAGAGGCTCAAAATGAAGGCCAAAATGAACAAGTTAGCAAAAAAAATAAGAAAAAGAAACATTCTTTAAAAGCCACTCAAGTTACTGATCCAACGGAAGGTGAACCTGTTACAAAGTCACGAAAAAAAGATGTTAAACCTGAAATAATAGCTGAAGATCTTGAAAATCTCAATATTGGAGATAATACTCATACACTGACAAATCTTCTTGATGAAATGACAGTAGTAGATAAAAAGAAAAAGAAAAATACAGGCAAACAAAAAAAAGGGAAACATGCAAAAGTAGCAAATACAGCAAATAATGACAGCAATTTTGAAAATAGTGTAGAAATTAAGGAGAGCGAAAAATGGAGGAAGCGTAAATGGAATAAGGACAAGAAGGGAGTGTTAAATATAGACCAAGTCTTATGTTCGGTAATGGTTGAGAATCTTCCTTTAAATGTGATACTGAGTTATAAGAAATTATTGGCTGAACATTTCTCTAAGTGTGGAGTAGTAAAGAAAATTGGGTATGTATGTTTTATCTCTAAAGTATGTTTCTAGGGCAGGCGGAAAAATGTACATTGACTTCAAGTATTATGTTAGCATCAAAACAAAACGACAGGTATTGCTTCCATTCATTTGTTTATAGATTATGTATTGTTATGTGCTAAGTGTGTTTCATAGTATGGGGTAGGGTGAAGTCAGTGGTCATTCAGATATAACAAACCTGTTTCCACACAATTCACGGTCTCGAGTCGTGCGTATATTTGCGAGAGTTGTCGGTGCAGGACTCATTCACTCATTCCTCATTCTGCTTTGGATGTAGATAGTTTGCGATTTAAAATTTTCGGTTTTAGTTGTTGTTTTCATTTTTAATAGGTTTGTTTTCTTTGTTGTATTGTTATGTTTTGTATTAAAGTTATAGAATCGATATAAAATTGGATCCATCGACATCAAAATCTTATAAAGATTTTAACCCACGAAAGAAGCGCAAAGTGTTGCATATTGCAGAAACCGAAAAAATAATGCTTAGCATTAAAAGTTCACCTTTTTACTAGAGTTGGGCCGATCAGTTAGCCGATTAGCCAATTATTCAGTTAAGAAATAGTCGATAAATTGGCCCAGACGATCCCTGTTTTGGCGGCGTACGGGAAATGTCGGTCTCATTCGTTGACGATGAAGATGATTGGAGATTCTAGATTCTTTATTTAATAACATTACAGGAAAAAAACATTTTATTTTAGTTTTACGTACAGAAAAATAACAATTTAATTTAATTTCATTTTAGTACAAAAATAATAACAATTTAGTTTTAAGTACAGAAACAAGTATTATTCTATTTGTCTTTTAAAAATCTACATGCGTGTAGTTAAACAATCTTTATTCAAGAATTAAGTGTTTTTTTTTGTTATGCAAAGGGAGAGGCTTAAAATTTGTTTTTTAAAGTTTATTAAGTGTATCATTATTCATATTTTTTCTTTGTTATGGGTACTCTGAATTATGATTAGAAAATGTTAAAAAGTATAATTAAAATACTAAGTACTTAGGTTTTTGTTTAGTTTTAAATTTAAATTGCTATCTCCGATTCTTTTTTTTATTACCAAAGTTCCTATGACCAGAATAATTAACATTAAAACATGTGAGAGTGATTTTTCAATAAAAGTTATGTATAAACCTATTTATTATTTATTTGATTTACCTACATATAAATCTGACGTTATTTTACGCATGGGTGAGAAACTATTATTTTCTTAAGTTTAAATCTTTACTCATATTAATGTAGCCGCACTTACCACACAGAAAATCACGAAAAACCTTTGCTCAAATTAATAAAATAAAAAGTCGATTAATCGGCGGTTTTAGCCGATTAATCGCCGACTAATTATTGACTACAAATAGGCCGATTAATCGGCTTCACCGATTAGTCGGCGGCTAATCAGCCCAACTCTACTTTTTACCAGACTGCCAAGAAGTGGTTATGTGTTGTACAACTACCTACCTACCAACTTAAACAACTTACCTATTATTAATGTAATAATGAAAATTGTGTTAATTCTTATGATTTATAAATAATAAATTTTAATTAATGTTAATTTGCTGTTTAATTCATGCAAGTACAGGATAATCTTCTTTCTTCATAATATAATAAGAGACACAGGGCATGCAAAGAACTTCACACTCGGCACTCTTATCTTTCATTCTGATGATGTATGTTGTCATGATACAAGGATAAAAAAAATAAAATCTAAAAAGAAGTTTGGCTACCCCAATGATATCATCAAAGGTCAATGTACGTTTTTCTACCTGCCCTAGGAACATACTATATACATAAACATTAGTTGATGATGTCCACTAGTCTTGCTAAAACTTGATATTGGCTCAAACAATTTTGATGACATTTTTTGTGTGTTAAAGATATTAATTAATTTGCAACCTTCCCTAACTAAATACAATGATGTGTCTTATCTGGATTGAAGAGCACCTCCCGCCCTCCCTCAATTGCGTGCACCAATCCCGTCACCAGTAATCCCAGTACCACTACTTCCAACACCGCTACTCCCGGCACCACTACTTCCAACACCAATATTCTAGGAAAGACACACCATCAACGATAATACGACACGTGCTTCGTTTCGTTGACGCTACTTAGCGGTCAGCCACCGTAGAGTCTACATCACCTGAGGATGCCTCGTGTAGAGGCAAAACACATGTCGTATTATCGTTGATTGTTTGGCTTTGACTTTATTACAATGGATTTCTGCAAAGCAACGCCTGATTCTATCAATTTTTTGTGTGTGTTTGTAATAAGTAAGTGGTTTTATTGTAGTCAGGTAATTAGTAAATTGAAAATATTTATTTATTTTATCTTATAATTATCATTTTTTGTATTAATTAAAGTAGTCATAGGTACATAATGAATTTTCATTATATAAAAATTTTTAAAAGTACTTTCAGATCAACGTCTGTGCACTCAAATAATTGTAATTAAAGTGGAAGGTAATGGTGCAGAAAGACTATTTTTTTTATTTTCAGACAGTAGTTTACTCCCTTCCTTCTCGTAGGCAATCCCAACTTCAGAGAAAAGACATTCTGAAGAATAAACACTACTTCTTTCCCGGCCGAATATTTTTGCCTAATATTATCTAATTTCGGCCAGGAAGTTCGCAAAATATTCAATATTTGGTGTGTGGTCAAATATACTATTAACTGTAAGTCTACTTCTTTCCCTTCTCTATCAGGCGTATTAATGAAAATATTTAGTCAACACAAAGATTTTATTGTACTCCCCATGTTTATAGTTTCAAAGTTCGTGACCAACTAACAGTATGATAAGATTAAGACATTTGAGAAGTTGAGGTGAACTTATGCAAGGCAAACAAACAATTATATTACTTTTATTTATTTATTTATCCTTTATATTTATAGGTTCTTACACTTTCAACTAGGAGTAACAAAGGGCAGACGTAATACCTTATGACATTCTCTATATATTGTATGATGTAGCTAGCGGTTGCCGCGACTTCACTCGCGTAGAATAAACTTTACTAATTTATTATTATACTTCCCTATTTGAATCGGATTTTGTTCACAATTTTGTGGGTTTTATTTTTATCTGCAGAACCCTAATTCTTTTTCTAAAATAAAAGCAGCCCAATTTACTGCTTATAACATCAGCTATCTGCCAGTGAAAGATGTTTGGAAGATTAGCCGGAACAAACAGGCAGAGAGCGAAAATTTTTAAATAATGTTTTTTGTTATAAGTACTGTATATACTTTCATATGCATTTAGTAAAAAGCTGTTATTTTGACATTATAAACAGACACTTTAATTTTATATATTTGTATAGAAATGCAATCACTTTGTGGGCAGTTGAAATTAATAAACAACAAAGAACAGAATACATACAGCTTATCAATTGGTGTATTGTGTATAAGTATTTCTTATCAATTGGTGGACTTAATGTATGTCATGTCTACTATAGTGGTTCTAATAAATGTTTTTATTTTGTTTTCAGCATAGTGGAAGTGTATCCCACTGAAGACCCTAAACCTGTTTTTACCACAACTGTCTTTTTTGATAGTGAAGATGCAGTATCAAAGGTAAACCGTCCAATAGTCTTGGATCTTCTTTAAATTAAATATTATTGGCCTAGATTCGGAATCCGACATTGTTTGAATATTTCTTTGTTTGTCTCATGCCTCACTATACAGTGTTGTTTTGCAATAACCAGCCAAATTTGCAGAGAAGGTTTACAATAAGTAATATAGGCAAATGGTAAAGAAAAATAGATTAAAAAAAACTCAAACATTCTGTCCTTTTTATCTTTTAATTTCAAATTATGTGCATGCACACATTCGTAAAGGTCATAAATCACATTCAATTTGGGATCTTTTCAAATAAAAATAGAAGCCTTATTTACTCAAAACTGCATTAACTTTAATATATATATATATATATATATATATATATATATATATATATATATATATAAAAAAAAAAAAAAAAATATATATATATATATATATATATATATATATATTTGAACTTGAGTTAAAAATTTGGCTTGCATTTGAAAAATAACCTTGTAATAACATCCAATTGCAATAAAAACTTTGGTGAATTGTGTGTTAGTAAGATCTAATGACAATAACATGTATTTTTTTATTCATCTCTGTTTATGTTCTGTTATTTTATTTTTCCAATTAAAATTAAACTTGTGAGTTTTAGTTTGTGTTTGCAACACTTTTAACTTGCTTTCTTCATATGTTTTTTGTTTCAAAATTTGCTATCAATTTTGACCTGAATTTTGGCATACCTATGAAACTTCAATGACAACACATTTATATTTGATTAAGTTTATTTATTTTGGGTGTTTTCCTGTCATTGACTGCACTCTCATAATTTTGTTCCCCACTAAACCTATAAGGTAAAACATATTTATTGGCAACTGCTGTATATAACGGTCCTTAATTGGAGAGTTTTTGTTTGTACCCTGTTTACTATACAAATATAAATAAATAGGTAAATGAGATACTCGTGATTCTAGATAACTGTCAATAAAAAATTGCACTACCCATGTTTCAGGCATTAGAAGAGGACAACACATCATTTGAAGGCAATTTCATCCGTGTCAAAAGACCACTTCCACCCACCAAGACGACTCTGGTGGTGCATTCCTACGGCGAACTGACTGAACAGGCTCTGAGCTCGGTTTTCAGTGGCGCCGGACGTATAAGGAATATCCGGCATTTAGTTAAGGGCAAGAAATCCATGGGTAAGAAACATAGAATACTATAATACATACACAATAGAACATGGGAGTGGGCGGAGCCCGTGTAGCCACTAAAACGCCACACTAACACGTCAATTCACACGTATAAATGTCAACACGAGATGTGTTTTGATGTTACAATCTTTTGCTTGCAACAATTGCTTGTATGTGTGCTCCCGGCGACGCAATTCCTCGTACAAAATAAGGTTGACAGCCATTCTATTGTGTATTATAGTATTCTATGGTAAGAAATTAACTCACATAGCTAACAAATTGTATCCTCATAATATGGAAAAAGCTTAATAGATCTCAGATAGATGGCAGCTTATCATTTCGTATATACTGTTACAGCTTGGACCTCTCTGTTGAGCGAACTGCAGAAATGGCATTTGTGTTGAGCTTGAGCACCTCATTGTTGCCAGTGATTTCAGACTCCCACTTTCTATGTATGATAGTTTTGAAAAAATTGTGGAGGAAGTTTAACTTAAGCTTTATAAACTGAATAAATCTGTTGTTGTATGTGAAGACTTTAATATGAATCTCCTTGAAACTTCTTCCATAAGTATTATGTTTAGATCATTGCTGAAATCATACAATCTTGTTAATTTGTTCTTAGAGCACACATGTATTGCTGGGCATAGTGCAACTTGTATAGATAATATTTTTGCTGATGTTGAGCCCTTACATAAATTAATTATTAGAAATGTAGATTCTGATCACTGTGGACAGTTGATCTCACTGCCTTCATCATCATCATCATTACAGCCTTTCACAAGTCCACTGCTGAACATGGGCCTCCGCCAAGTAATGCCACAAAGCATGGTCCTGAGCCAGCTGCATCCATCAACTTCCTGCATGTTTTATCAGGTCGTCACTCCATCTAGTGGGGGGGTCGCCCTACACTAGGCCTACCGGTACGAGGCTACCACTCAGGAACCTTTCTTCCCCATCGGTTATCAGTTCTTCGAGCTGTATGGCCGGCTCATTGCCATTTCAGCTTACTAATCTGTTGAGCTATGTCAGTTACTCTGGTTTGACTGCGGATATCCTCATTTCTGAGTTTATCACGCAAAGAAACCCCGAGCATAGCCCTGTCCATACCTCGCTGAGCGACCTTGAGCATCCTCATACGGCCAGCAGTGAAGGACCAAGTCTCAGATTCGTAAGTCATTACTGGCAACACGCACTGGTTGTACAATCTAGTTTTCAGAGTTTAATTTATACCTGACGAGAAGATGTGTCGTAATTTCCGCTACCCAGCCGAGTTGAATCCATTGATTGACCTTTCGGTCGAAGTTGGACTTACCTACTCGGACTATTTGTCCCAGGTAAACGTACTCGTCAACAACTTCGAGCATATTGCTGCCAACAACTACCGGCATAGGTGTGACATGGACATTAAACATGATCTTTGTTTTGTCCATGTTCATCTTAAGATCTTTGGAGAACATTAGTCATTAACAGTGCTTAAGCTCCTCCAGCGATTCCGTCATAAGGACTATATCGTCGGCAAATCGAAGGTGAGTGATGTACTCGCCATTGATATTAATACCGTATCCTTTCTAGTCCAGTAGCTTGAAAACGTCTTCCAATGCAGCGGTGACTACTACTACTACCTTACATGTACAAAAACAAAAAGTTAAAAAAGTTGTGCTTGCTGCAATAATTGGACATAGCTTAGAGAGATTTAGAAGTAGTATTGTGAAAAACGTACAATTTCTTTCATGTAAAAACAATACTAATTATTTATAAAGGTCATTATTTAAACATATAATTCTTGATTTTAATAATATATTTACTTCTAAAACACTCTTTAAACAGTCGCAAATTGTAATATTTACTAAAATTTAATGTATGTATACAAAAACAAAAACGGTTTTTATTAAAAATAGTGATGTACATTCTCTAAATACTAGATACAAGCACAAGTTAGTTATACCAGTTACTTGACTCCAAAGAGTAGGTAATTCCTTCATGGAGCAATGTATACGCTAAAGTCCCAGAAAATGTGCAGACCTTACCTATCAAAAGGTTTAAAATATTTTTTAAGCAAAAATAGTTTAGTAAGGGTTATTATATTAAAGAGTACATGATTGATAATAACCCCTGGGAATGAGATGGCCGCAACTGAGCTGTTTCTTAATGTTTTGAAATATTATATTCTAAATTATGTATTTTTTTTTAAAGTCTTGCTGTGTTTCCTGCTGGTCCTTACCAGGAGAGAGGTTTTTTCCGAACCAGTGGTAAAAGTTGAAAATGACTTTCAATAAGTATTACATATAATTTATATTGAATAAAAAATTATTCGATTCTATCAAAAAAAAATATGTGGAACGAGCCCCCAGGCAAAAAAAAAGTGTAAAAAAAAAAAAAAAAAAATTCTATTCTAACCTATTAAAGAAATTAAAGAAATCTAACTCTAATAACAAATTCATACCCATGATTTTTATCTTACATTGATCGATATATGTATTTTTTTAACTATTATAACACTTGCTTGGCTACTATCTGCCGAAGATGGTACCGTCGGCTGTTTCACCACTTATGTACCACTTAAGCGCACTTAGACTTAGTTTAGTTTACCTTTGACTTGAAGACACCTACGTAATCGGATGGATAAACAGATGCTGGCAGATTATTTCTTTCCTTTCCTGTATGCAGTGTGAACGAAGCAAACTGTTTAGTTCGAATTGTAGTTCGCTACGGCTGGCAGCACCAAGCCTTCAAAAACTTGAACAGACATTTCGATAACCAAGAATTAATAATGAAAAAATGCCCTAAATTTATATCAAGTAATTTAAAAAAATAAATATTTTAGTAAGTATTTTCGTATTTTAACTTAAACTATCTTTGCAGCTACTGCATTCATAGAATTCGATGGACCGCGGGCGGTGGAGCGCGCAATCAAAATGGCGGAGGAGGCCAGAATTGGCGGGAAAAAGGTTCACGTTTCAAAGTTTCAACTGAGAAAAGAAAATAGAGATAAGAAAATAAAACACATGAAGAATGAGAACACAGAAAATAGTGATGACTCTAGTGATTAATTCTGTTCTTAAGTAGTTTGTTTGTAGTGAAAGTAATGTTAAACTGTTTTTTTTTATACTTTGTCAGTTGAAGTTTTCATTGAAACAATTATAATAATGTTTTTTTTTTAAATATATTTTCATATCGGTATTCGTCATAGTGTTTTAGAAGTCGAGGTGGAGTTGCGACTGTATCGAAGCTCTGGTAGGGCTATATTGGAGCGTTTTGTTTCCGTATCGTACATGTTGAGTCGCAACCTCAACTTTACACTCGTCGTCTTCTTTAATGATAATTGCATATGTAACGCTTTTACTGTTAAATTCGTATTCCATAATTAATGTTGACTTCATTAACTATGGAACTACGGCTCTGCTTAGTTTTTCTTTTAATCCAAATTGCAGAGTTGTGATGAGAGTTGCATTCTATTGTATTCATTGTGTCTATTTTTAATATGTTTAATTACTATTTGTTTTGAAAAGATAGAAAATAAAACTTCAGCTGTGATTATAATTAAAATAGCGACATGAATTGTAATGGTCGAAATTAATTTGCAACATCCTTGACGTTCTCCCATTTTAATATTTTTAATAATTGTTTTATATGTTTAAGGGTTGTTGTGTAAAATCTTGAAAGTCAAATAGAAAAAGTGCCTGGAAAATAATAAAATGTTAAACTTCACTGATATGAACAGTGACATTTAACATATAAGCAGACTAAAATAAATGGTTTATTATCATTGTTTTGTTTCACTAACTAAATATAATATGAATTAAATGTTCATACTATACACGTACATATTACCCCCGAAGATTATATTTTCGATTGAAATAATGTTTATATAAAATACGACATAAACAAATTAAATATTAAAAGTTACAGTCTTTATACATACTACTGCTGGGCACAGGCCTCCTCTCACTTTTGAGAGGTTTTTAGGGCAAGGAGTGTCCGCCGCGCTGCCCCAATACGTGTTGGCGGACTTCACATGTCTGATATTTTTTTTCTTATTCCTCATACATACTGGTTTCCTCACGATGTTTTCCTTCGCCGCCGAGCACGTGGTATATCAGCACTTAAAATTGCAATTAACAATTTCATTGGTGCCGGCAGGGATGCTGGATGTCGGCATGTGTGAGACATGCAGGTTTCCTTACCACCCGAGCACGTGGTAAATTAAATATAAATTATTAGGTTGAATAATAAAGGTTATAATGTACGATGGTAAAAATTTATAAAACTAAAATTATACTTTATTGTTGGAATATTTACTAAAAAAAGAAAAACTTCAAAATATATGTTTCCGCCCGGGATCGAACCGGGGACCTTCTGCGTGTTAGGCAGATGTGATAACCGCTACACCACGGAAACGATATCTGTGGAAATGAAATAGATATTTGTAATATTTAACATTTGTGTAAAAAATATTCATATTCAAATCATATTTGTAATCTTCGACGAAATGGGCAAGTCCGAATAAAAAGTACTTTGTGGTCCGAAGACCAGCAAACTACTCGAACCACGTGAAACCTAAAAATATGAACTGAATATAATATTATATTAAATAAAGGAAAATAGTGAGAGGCAATCGCATCGCCTCTACAATCACAAATCAGATATCCCATTTTCTTTTTTGTCATAAATCACACAAAAACATGGGTATTATGCATATTATGATTATATAACAATATATTTCATGTTTATGTAGGTATTAAATGTATCCAAACTCTCAGATACAATAACTAGGTACTAAAAGTTTTACGGAAAGCTATGTTAATGACCTTTGTAATATTGCCTCATTTTGTGGCGAAATATGTTGCGTATTATCAACGATGGTGTTGGGTTTACTAGCAAATTGATGGTGTTTTCTTGGGGGTAAGTAGGTAAGTAGCGTTAGCTTTGAGTATTCAACCATAGTGTTAGCGACGACAAGTGAATTTATTTATTTAATTTCAATTTATTCTTATTTGTGATCTAAAACTACGTAACGGCTGATAGTGTTAATAACAAAAAGTGAATTAATTACTTAAACTAGCTTCAAATCTTATTTGCAATCTAAAATTACGTAACGAAAGTTAGTAACGAAAGTCAGTAACGAAATGTGAGTCTAATTACTTATTTGAGTTTAATTAGAATATTAGAAACGAAATATGAATCTAGTTACTTATTGGAACTTACTCTTATTATAATCTAAAGAATTACATTAGAAACATTAGCATCTAAGTGTGAATTTAATTACTTGTTTAATTCTTTTTCTTTTTAATGTAATTTAAAACTAAGACAATACGTCAATTAACCACTTGTATAATCTCGTTTCCTATTATAAAAATAGATTTAGTTCAATAAGAAGTTCAAAGGTATTCTGCATAGTTTCTTAAGATTAAGCGTAATGTTGTTATCTCGATAAGCATTGTGCATTCCTGCCGCCTGGCGGCGCTACGTGTATGTTATTTTTTGCGCCTGAAGCAAATATGGGCAACCCTCCGGAAAGCGGGGGAGGGAGGCGGTGAATGCTCATAGCATACCACGCAGCCGGCTGCGTGGTTATGTGGAGACTTTTACCCAATAAACACGGCCTTTTAGGGTCTGGCTTATCGGTCTAACTGGAGATCTCTAAGCCGTATACGAACGCGACCCTCCTTGTCAGAAAGCCAATATTTGGTATATTAAGCTATTACAAATAGCTTAATTGGTATATTGGGGGGTCACAAAATTGTGTATGTTATGCGGAAAAAAGCTTAGCTACTACGGAGCTATACTGTAGGAAGACCGTTCCACTATTTTTATTTATTAAAGGTATAAAATAAGGGTTTTATGAATGATTAATGTTTGAAATAATAAAGATAAGCTATTTCTATTACCTGGAATTTATAAAAACATTGTAAGGGATGTTTTACCACAAAAATAAAAGAAATTTGTAAGTCTCCCTTAGAAAAGGTTGCTCTGCGCTCTGATTGGTCGACGGAAATCATTAGTGCCGTATGCAAATTCGTTAGTGCCGTGTGCAAAATTTAACCATTTTGATTGATCGAAATTGCCTATAAAAAAGAGGCGTTTTTTGTGGTTTGCAGGCCGCGAGCCCTGAGACAAGATGAAACTGTAAGAGTCGCATAGACTAACAGCACTAACTTCTAGATAATAGAGTGGTTAAACATTCCAAATCCGGCAACGTAAGAATAAAGCATCAAGAAAATAAATAGAAGAAAAATTCTGAAGAAGTGTAATTTGTTGCTCATCTAACTGCTACTGCATGCTCTCCAGTTAACATCCCGCTAGCAAACCCGCTCCATTACTAACATTCTCACACACGAGCAACAACACATAGGCTTGGTTTTGCCAGTAATAGTGGACGCTATTTTGGGAGGTGCTCAATTTGAACATACCATTTTATTTTTCTCGTGGATCGTATCTAATTATTTTGACATCTTTTTACACCTTCAAAATATTTCTTATTTCAACTCTGAATGATAGAATGTCACCTACATTTAGCATAATGAGCGTGGATATACCACTTCTATGTTACCAATGGGATACTTTTGCGTTCGTGGTAGGTACAACATAGTAAAATAATTTCCCAGCATTTGCCTTTTCTGTCTGTGTTATTATGGATATGGATGTCTTCAAGATTAGAGTGAATAGGCTTTTGTCAAGCTTTGCCATCTTCAGACGCATCACCATTACCATATATAAAATCGGTTAGTAGTCAAGTAAGTCTTTTGACAGTTCTAAATAAAATAGAATTTTTATGCAGAATGAAGATAATGGATGAGTGGATGATGTTCATAATTGTATAGCGTCAGGACAACGCACCGCTGTCGTGTGTAATGCGTTCGTAAAGTATTTTTCATGCTTATTAAACTGATAAAAAAAAACTAGACAAAATTCCACCGTGAGCATTTTGTTCGTCGTCCGTCCAACTTCTTAACAACGCGCACGGAGCTGCTAGAGCCCAAAAGCGCCTCACACCTGCTACTCTCCTAATTTTGTCAAAAAATAAAATCTAAAAAAATTAAACGAAATTGTAGTTTAAAATCACTGTACTCTATGATTGTAGTATAAAGAAAACAATAAAAAGTTTAAAACTTATAGTTTACCAACTCACGTAATTGTAAATGAAATTATAGCATGAATTTAAAAAGCGCCCAAATCTCTTGCCGGTTCCTCTCTAAGAATGTCATATTTTTTAAACCGTTGTAAATTTTTAAGTTCATAAAAAATTTATAATATATGAAATTGAACTAAGTTTATTTTGTATTTAAACTTGCCAAGTTGACAAATTCGTTATCAAAGAACTTATTTTCTTTTAAATCCAAAGAACGTTGTCCATACCTATACCTACGTTTCTATGGAGCTTAGCGTCATTTCTGATCTCAATTCTTTTATCAACAACATCAAATATCGTTTGTACCGCACTCGGTGCCATAGATATTGTCTGCTTCGTTGGTCTTGTGGTCGCAAATGTCGTTTGTACCGAACTCGGTGCCTTAGATATTGTCTGCTTCGTTGGTCTTGTGGTCGCAAATGTCGTTTGTACCGCACTCGGTGCCCTAGATATTGTCTGCTTCGTTGGTCTTGTGGTCGCAAATGTCGTTTGTACCGCACTCGGTGCCCTAGATATTGTCTGCTTCGTTGGTCTTGTGGTCGCAAATGTCGTTTGTACCGAACTCGGTGCCCTAGATAGTGTCTGCTTCGTTGGTCTTGTGGTCGCAAATGTCGTTTGTACCGCACTCGGTGCCATAGATATTGTCTGCTTCGTTGGTCTTGTGGTCGCAAATGTCGTTTGTACCGAACTCGGTGCCCTAGATATTGTCTGCTTCGTTGGTCTTGTGGTCGCAAATGTCGTTTGTACCGCACTCGGTGCCCTAGATATTGTCTGCTTCGTTGGTCTTGTGGTCGCAAATGTCGTTTGTACCGAACTCGGTGCCATAGATATTGTCTGCTTCGTTGGTCTTGTGGTCGCAAATGTCGTTTGTACCGCACTCGGTGCCCTAGATAGTGTCTGCTTCGTTGGTTTTGTGGTCGCAAATGTCGTTTGTACCGAACTCGGTGCCTTAGATATTGTCTGCTTCGTTGGTCTTGTGGTCGCAAATGTCGTTTGTACCGCACTCGGTGCCCTAGATATTGTCTGCTTCGTTGGTCTTGTGGTCGCAAATGTCGTTTGTACCGCACTCAGTACCATAGATATTGTCTGCTTCGTTGGTCTTGTGGTCGCAAATGTCGTTTGTACCGAACTCGGTGCCGTAGATATTGTCTGCTTCGTTGGTCTTGTTGTCGCAAATGTCGTTTGTACCGAACTCGGTGCCTTAGATATTGTCTGCTTCGTTGGTCTTGTGGTCGCAAATGTCGTTTGTACCGCACTCGGTGCCCTAGATATTGTCTGCTTCGTTGGTCTTGTGGTCGCAAATGTCGTTTGTACCGCACTCGGTGCCCTAGATATTGTCTGCTTCGTTGGTCTTGTGGTCGCAAATGTCGTTTGTACCGCACTCGGTGCCCTAGATATTGTCTGCTTCGTTGGTCTTGTGGTCGCAAATGTCGTTTGTACCTCACTCGGTGCCTTAGATATTGTCTGCTTCGTTGGTCTTGTGGTCGCAAATGCCACGACCAGCCCGCCTACCAAGCCTTTAAACCCCCCCCCCCGATAAACCAGCCACCAAAAACAAAAAGTCGTTTGTACCGAACTCGGTGCCTTAGATATTGTCTGCTTCGTTGGTCTTGTGGTCGCAAATGTCGTTTGTACCGAACTCGGTGCCTTAGATATTGTCTGCTTCGTTGGTCTTGTGGTCGCAAATGTCGTTTGTACCGCACTCGGTGCCTTAGATATTGTCTGCTTCGTTGGTCTTGTGGTCGCAAATGTCGTTTGTACCGAACTCGGTGCCTTAGATATTGTCTGCTTCGTTGGTCTTGTGGTCGTAAATGCGATCGCTGATCATGAGATTGGAGGTAATTCACCCCCGTGTCTCGGAAGCATGTGAAGCCGTTGGACCTACACCTGTTATATCTTTGGTCGTGTCGGATTACTCTCGTCATCGGACTATGAGAGTGAGGGAATAAAGTATACTTGCGCATACAGTTGGGCCACAGAAATCGTAATAATAAGACAGTAGAAGTCGCATAGACGCGTGACCTTGTCGCCGTTATGATATGTTGATGAACATCATTCACCAATTTATAATTTAGTTGCGCGGGGAACGTAAGTGAATTTATATTATTATAATGGTGAACTGCAGCATAATCAATAAAACAAGTAAGTTTATTATTTACTAATTATGATAGTTTTAACTAATCTAACATACATCTAGATGAATAACTTTAATTTATTAAGTATTGTATAATTACCATTGCTGCTTTTTTGTTCTACCGTAATACGCAACGCACGCGACGTTGACAAAGTCGCCAAGCAACGTACACATTACGTTGCTTGGCTAGTTTGATTTGGCATTAGATATCATTATACATTGCGTATATTTATAATACGGCTGCAGGTATCGGTCGCAATGCGTATTTGTTAAGATGTGGCGACATTGGTTTTGGAAGTAATCGAGCGCAAATTCATTTTTATTGTCTTATTATTACTATTTCTGTGCGTGGGATTAACGTCGTACCCTGCCCCTCGCTGTCCCGCCATTTTATTGCATAACTACTACTACTACTACTACGTACTAAACAAATTGCCGGCAAACGCTTGTTTTGACTATTTTTGTGAGAAAAAGGTATTTCGTTGTGTTATTATTAGCGAAAATTGATAATTATACGATAAAAATGAGTGGCAGGAGATCTACTATTTGGACTTATTTTAGAGAAACTGACGACCAAAGTAAAGTGAAATGTACCAATGTAATGTAATGCTTCTTTCTTTGATTCCAAAAAAATTTATCGAGCTATAATTGGAAATAAATCTACAGTGCCTTAAATATATAACGCTATAGAAGTAGATTTAACCAGTAAATAAAATACACTTTCAACAGCAAAATTATGAAATACATGGCATTATTCAATTCGTATATTTTCATATAGTGGATACTTTGAGTCCCACTTTAACGAACGTTCGATGATTTTGCCGAATATTCGGCCGAATACGAATATTCGGTAAATGTGCCGAATACCGTATATGAAACGAATATTCGGCCCATCACTAATTAAGTATTAGAAAATATGATATTTAAAGAATAGAATAATGTCATGTCTTTCATAATTTTACTGTTGAAAGTACATTCATTTATGGATTAAATCTACTTGTTTAGCGTAATATTTTTGAGGCACTGTAGATTTATTTCCGATTATAGCAAATAGAAAGCTTGATATAATTTTGTTTGGAATCAAACAAAGAAACATTTACATTACAATCGTCAGTTTCTCTAAAATAGGTCCAAGTAGTAGATCTCTTGCCACTCATTTTCATCATATAATTATCAATTTTTACTAAGAATAACACAACGAAATACTTTTTTCTCACAAAAATAGTCTATACATAAGCAAGTGCTCAGTTTAGATGACTGCCCCCCCCACCAATTCCTAAATAAGTGGAAAAGTCACCTTGAGCATCCCAACTCCCCCTTCCATTTGCTTCATTAGATGATGCAATAAGATGTCAGGTGTGGCGGGAGAGCGAGGGAAGGGTCCGGCGCTAATCCCACGCGCTTTACGGTAACGACATAAATTGGTCAGGTACCGAGGTTATCCTGCCGAATATTCGGTTCGGTAAAAATGTTACCGAACTTTCGGTCGAATATTCGTATTCGGTGAAATCCTTATTCGGCCCATCCCTACTAATTATTACCCTATTTTTATCAACTTCATTCTACCAAGATCCAAGATTTAAAAAATGCATAGTACTAATAATCATAGTAAAATGCGTAGTATCAATTTTGGTAATTCAATCGGCAGTTTTTATTGTCACGAACCTTAAGCTCGTAACAATATAAATATCATAGAGTTCACTTCGTTGTGCATGACGGAAATTAAAGGCATCATAAATTGAAACAATAATTTATTGTATTCCTTAGAATCTTTAGTTATGCGTTAAAACTAACTATACTGTATACACAAGGGCCTTACTCGTCCGATAATTAAGCTACCATAATTACATACGTTATTTACAATGTTACGAATAAATTATGCAGTGGCGGCTCAACTCGCTTCTATAATTACATAAATAATACTTTAAAACACATTGTTATTATGTCATTTGCTGAGGCAACACCGGCGCCTTCTGTCAAATAGTTTTACACATTTTCCTTTAAAATTGTTCATTTTACAAGTAATTAAGACACATGTGTTGCCAGAGTTCACTATACAAAAATATTATTCTGCTAAAATCCTCGTGTTTCAGAAGGCAGTAAATTTAAATGTATCGCAACAAAACTCAAATGTCGCTAGTCGAATGTACGTTGTTAGCAAATTCTTTTTCTTTTAAACAATTCCCACAACTCCGACTTAACTTTACGTTACAACCCGCAAGCTCAAATTGGTATTCAAAATTTATGTTTCATAAATTTACAAATTTACATTAGCAATGAGAAGAAAATATTGCCCAGAAATGAAAAAGCAATGATTTATATTTTTAATAATAAAAGTCTACTATAGAAATGGATAAATCAAGTAATATTTTAATAATTTACAATATATTACTGACAACTTGTTTTCGAAATTATAAGAATTTCTTTTAATACACTTCAAAATAATTAATGGACCTCAAACTTTTAATACAGTATGCAGCACTTTTACTCAATACAATTACTATAACTATTTGTACCTATTAGGTACATAAGCAAAATTTCTAAGCTTGCCCACACTGTAATTTTGAAATTTTACTCGCATCTCAAGTCATACTGGGTTTATTTCTGGTTCATCCAAGGATATCAGGCATCAATGACAAATGTAAAGATGTAGATTACATAATATAAAGAATATGTAATCTATATTGCATAAAAATTATTCTATTCTATTCTGTTTCCATTGTTAAAACAATTAATATTTAAGCTTGCAATTAATTAACAAATATGTAGTCCCAGTATCATTCCTACAAAGTGGCTTGACTTCAACATAATTTGTTACAATGAGTTTGTCATAAATATAAGAAAAAATGTCATTTATTTCATATAATGTAATTTTATGTATACATATAAAGGTTACTAGTTTCTCACTGTAGTTATAAATGATTTCATATGATGAACACAGTCAAATTATAAACAATATTTGGTCCTTTCCAAAACTATGTGTGAATGTGCGAATGGAGGTGTTAGAGAAAGGAAAGTTTTTTTCATTTTCACTATTTGATGACTTAATACACAACTATAAATACCAAGTTTCAGGCAGATCAGTTCATTAATCTTTCAGATATCACAGGATAAACAAGTCAATCGAGAAGTGAACATTAACTATGGAAAAATTAAATTTCGTGCAATGATAACGTTCCTCACTAATCAAGGAAAAATGCCACATATCATTGTGGGAAAGATGTCATTTGTTAACGGGCTTTTGCCCTGGAAATTTTAAAAATTTTAACAATGTTTACTGGGATTCAGAGTGGTTTTATTGATCGATTACAAAGATAAAGGTGTCAATATCACAGGAAAGTATTATTCAACGCTACTAGAAAAATGAAAAGATGCGAATAAGGAAAACAGAAGGGGAAAGTGATTTCGATTCCTTTTGCATGACAACGCACCCGTTCACAATAGTCACGTTGCAATGGTCCTTACACAAGTGCAGCTTCGAAAATTTAAACCTCCCTCCCTATAGTCCAGATTAGACCCTTCAAATCATTATTTATTCTCTCAAATATGAAAAAAAGGCTTCGGTGATAGAAATTTGCAGATGACAGAAAAGCAAAGTCGACAATTTCTGCCTATTTTGAGGGTGATTTTTTTGGAAGGTATAAATAAGTTCCTTGAGCGGTTTGAGAATTGTATTAGGGTTAATGGAGAATTTATAAAAAAGGAAAAATTATTTCATGTTTAATTTCACTCCCGTTCCCTTTCATTCTGCAACATTTTTGACCTACCCTCGTACTTACAGAAACACAAACATTATTGCAATAGAGTAGTATTTCACACCCCTTCATTTTTATAAATACGTACAACTTAGTATACCGTGTAACGGCGGTGTAAGATTTCCACTAGACTGTGTGGGTGTTGTAAGAGGCTAGAAGGGAAAAACCGGGTGGGTAGCGCCGTCTTAATAATTAATTTAAAAAATGCAGATGCCAACCCGTCTGCCAGTTGTGGCAACAAATATCCCCCCTTGTGAGGTAATCTATGGGAAAGACCTATGTCCAGCAGTGGACATTTGATTGGTTGTATCAGTACAATTTTGACATCATCATCATCATCATCATTATCATTACAGCCCATCACATGTCCACTGCTGAACATAGGCCTCCCCCAAAGAGGACTATTTGACAACTTTGAAATACTGCAAATTCAATCAGCAGAACATTTACAATGAGGATCGGAAATAGATTTGAGAATTTTAGTTATTTAGAAATAACACAATGGTTTTCTATGCAGTCAGATAATAAAAACATTTATCACTTTGTCACAATGATCTGTCATCACTTTCACATTTATTCAATTGACACTTTCACCAAACACAATGCAATATACCAACAAACTCGATGCAAGAAGCCATGGTTTCACTTGAAGTCAACTTTAGGTATATAAGAACACTTTTCAAAGCACTCCATACAAGTTTTCGAAAACAATCCGGCAACTTCAAGTTATTTGAATCAATACTGCTGTACTATACACTAATGAATATTTTGAAGAGAGTGAGCGAGACAAACTGTCCATCTGGATTGCTCCATGCAGACAATTTAAAGTCAATTGTCACCAATGTACAACAGAATCTGTAAGGGCTGTCAGGACTGCTGAGTATCAAGGGTGAGCCGGGTAAGCTGAGGTCGGGCTAGTCGTAGCCCTTCAACAGCCCCTACGGGTGTCGTTGATTCGGCACTGGGATTCTGTAAGCATACAATTCGCACATTTAATGTACTGTGGAAAATATTACTGTGTTTTAAAGTAACTTGGGTGTCGACCATAAATTCTAAATATCCCTCATTATATACAGGTAAACGGAAGTATATAAATAATTTAAATAATAAATTATTATTATTATTACTGTTCAATAATTACATTTGGGGTGATTATGTATTTTTATCATCTGTATGAGCTGCATATATAAAAAAGAAAGAAGATAATGAATATACATAAATAAAATATAGTAAAATATATAAATAAGAAATACATAAATAAATGAAAACCTAACCACATGGTAGCCCTCGGTAGGGGAGACCAAACGGCCGAGGGTTAGGAAGAAAACAGCATGGCGTACACATTGAGAAGCACCGCCTTCTGCTCCGCTCCGGGCTCAAATAGCCCGGAGCGGTCTGTCACGGAGTCCCAGTCGCCTCAGATCACAATTTCGGTCGGTAGACTATACCACACGCCCGTCATCTCGTAAGACATTACATATTATTACCATTTATTGGTGACCTGGTACAGTGGCAGCGTCAGAATATCAACCACCCAAAATCATCCCGTGAGTGTCGTAAGAGGCAACAGAAATAAACTGAAACGTGAATAGGCAGCAGCATCTTCCTGGTTGTTAACACCTACCAAGCATGGCCAACACCCCCCCCCTACCTACATATGAGGCCTATGTTCTGCAGTGCAAACTTGCACTGTTAAAATTACAGCTTCAAAACATAATGAAAAACCATTTATTGACAATTTTACTTTCTATGGAAAAATCCACTACATTTCAAAAGTTGACTGCGAACACAAGTACCTACCCATAAAAAGCCGGAAAACTGGTGTCCGCGTTGAACTGGAAATTGACGGGGGTCTTGGGCGAGGCGCAGCTGTAGCTTAGGTAGTCATCGGATGCGTGCAGCTGCCGGTTCACGCTGGGCTCGGAGGCGCTGCGCGTAATCTTGGGCATGGCTCTCAGCATGGACTCCAGCGAGGCCAGGATCTGCCGGAACAGAGGCCGCTGTTCCCGGTCGAACTTGATGCAGTCCTCGAAGAGACGCTTCAGCGCTTGTGGAGCGTCTTGTCTCAGTCTTCGTGCATCGGGCCGTAGGAGACCCCGGCCCACCATCCATAAGATCTGAAATCATTCAAATCAAAGCATTCCATCACAGCATAGATCTTTACTATAAATTCTAAACATTAGCCTAATGGTAGGGTACAAACTGCGAACTCAAAAAGTCGTGTGTTCAAATCCGTCCGACGAGTATCGTGAACCACTTCCCTAAAACAAACATTTGAAGTCTTACCTTTATTCCTCAAAAATAATACAACTCACTTATCATGAGAAATAACAAGTTAACATTAGATACTAAATACATGAACTTATGAAGAACAGTAGGTACTTGTAAATGATATATTTTGTAGTGAATATGCACAATCTTCTTACAGTATCAGAGTAATGTTAATAGAATTTATAAAAAATAAAAAACGACGGGTTGCACTCCGGGAGTGCCGGTAGAAGTGAAAACTTGAATATTAACGTTGTGCATTTTTGATATTTTGGAATGGTTAGGGAATAATTTTGCTCGAATTGCTTTATCAGTATAAAATTACTATCATTTATGTTGTAGAATACAATATTTATTTATTGCGCTATCGTACACAAACATGACAATTTATATTAGGTATATTCGCGCAAGCGCCCTGCGCCGCCTAAACGAACCAGCAGGCGCAGGCATACATTTTCGCCGTGCCGTAGAAAGAGAGGGGGATACTTCCTCTCCTACGCCACGCCGGCTGTCTCTCTCTCTCTCCATCCATCTTACGCATTTTCGATCAGGGTCACGTGTCCTGACGCGAGTTTAACATTTTTATCCATTACAAAAAAAGTGTACAAAGCCGCTAAAGAAGTTTTTACTTCAAAAAAAAAAAAGAGATTCCCTAATAGTGAGAGGGGGTGTTTGTCATAGTTGCCACGCTCGCCAAGTGGGTTAGCATTTAACAACCACACTTTTTATTTTCAATCGTTACTCGGTGGCCATTTATTTAATGTGTTTCCCTCGTGGATGTACCTGGTCCTTGTTGTTGAGGTGCGCGTAGGGCAGCTCGCCGGCCATAAGCTCGTAGAGCACGACGCCGTACGCGTACACGTCGGAGCGGAAGGTGTAGGGCGCCGGCTCGTCCATGCGGATCACCTCGGGCGCCATCCACAGGATCGAGCCCGTCGGCTGCTGCCACTGCACGCCGCCCGCCAGCGGGGACTCTGCCGACATGCATCAGTGCCGCCATCACCAACACATCGTCATGTAGAGTACTGGTACCCCCTGGTCGGCTCCACCGGGGTAGGACCATGCTCTCACATAATACCATAATGCTACTGTGATTCGTATGGTGAGTTTAGAGAACTGTAAACCCTTTTTACTGGAAATGAGGCATTCCATCTTAGTCCTTAAAGGTAACCGCATTTTGATTCTTATTCGAGAATAAATGTAGATGTCTATGAGCCACAGCACTTACCAGCAGGTGGACTGTGAGTTTGTTTGTCACATTTATTCTATAATGATTTCTTATATTTACGCGAACACTACAAATTAATTAAAACTACGTATACGGATTTCATCGCGTTTAATTTGAATTATTTTTAATTCCCGACATTTCCGGTGCTTTCCAGCAACCATGGTCACGGGGGACTGAGATGACCGACTTCCCGATGTTACTGTTAAACCCGCAGTACCTTCAGCTTTTTTAATTATTGTTTATAGTCCGATCTATGCAAAATGAACTGTCTGTGCCTTGAAGTCTTGCAGTGGTATGCTTGGGTTTAGTTTTAATTTTATTGATTATAGGGTCCAAAGCAGGTGGTTGTACCCAGCTTCCGTCTCTATTGAAATTATGAAGTTTTTTAATTTCAATAGCCTCACATATCGTCCTTGGTAGGAAACGATGTTCCTTCGCGAGGATTTGTGGTCTAACAAATCTGATGTAATGGTTGGGGTCGCCAAGGATATGATCACAAACTGCAGACTTCCCGTAACGCTGATGATTCACATCAGCTATATGTTCTTTTAGACGGGTTCTAATTGATCTTTTTGTTTGCCATATACACAAACAGAACACTCTATTACATCCAATAATGAGTCAGATTGATTCACCGACTTACAGATTGGCTCAACACTTAGCTAAAATATTTATCACCACTCAGGAGACACTCAAGACCACACACAAGAGCACATACTAAGGATTCATATCATTTTATCAGTGAGATAAAAGACCTACGTCTTAATGACAATGAAACCATGGTCAGTTTTGATGTTCAGTCTCTTTATGTCTACCTGTTGAAGACTGCATCTCAATTATAACTAGGAAACTAGAGGAAAATAACATGCCAGCAGAATATGCAGTATTACTCCGACATTGCCTTACATCTGGCTATCTATTGTGAAAGGAAGAGTTTTGAATGTGTTAGACCAAGGATCTACAAGCGGTACGTAGATGATATTTTCACAATTTTACCATTAGACAAAGTAACTGCATTTCAGAACATCTTAATTCCATAAACTGTAAAATTCAATTTACTATCAGCCAGTGAAGTCCACGCCAATGCATTGTATTTAAGAATTAAATCCCCCAACTACAATGTTTTTAGATGGAGTGATGACTTGGTAAGACATGCAGGAAGTCGATGGATTTTTGTCCTTCCTTGAAAGGCTTTAATGAATATGACTGCATTAACAGGAAGTCTTAACTCACCTGACCACCGTACTTTGGCCGTCGCCAGACCAAAGTCACCGATCTTGACCGACCAGTCATCTCTCAAGAATATATTGTTTGATTTCAGATCCCTGAAATAAAATTGATACTGTTAGCTGAGCTGTGATAACTTAGAGGCTAAGCGCTTTAAATGGTAAATCGCACTGTCTTAGTTTAACAAAAGCCTATTCACTATTGCTTAGAAGAGGTCCAGATTGTATTCGGACCGAAAGATAGACGCCTGCAAGTTGTTCCACTCCTTTAAAATCGCTTCCGCATTAAAAAGGATGAAGCAAACCGTTTGGTTGTAATGCATGAATAACGACAAAAAAAAGTGAAATTGTTAGAATCAATATCATAGGACGAGAGCAACCAAGGCTTGACTCAAGCTATCAACAATTATTGTTATTTTAATTGCTGATTATTGATATGATTACTACGCGGCAATTTGTGATTTGTCATACATTTTAGTCAATTCAATTGCAGCTGTTCCAAATCAGTATAATTAAAACTATACAACGTTAAACACTTGCTGCCTGCGGTGCAATAAAATGGGGAAACAGTACGCCGCCTATTGCACTTTTGACAGGCTTGCCGTAAGGTCCGTATGTGCTACAGAGACTGCAAAGCGCAACAGGCAGAATCCTGTTTTCCCATTTTATTGCACAATATAGTATGGCCTAGACCTGTGTCAATCGATCATTTCTCGTGATTTTGGTTTGTCTTGTCACCTTGAAATCGGGTCAAATAAGATCGAATCTTTTAGAGATCCATGATTCGATCACTCATGTACAGGTTGCAATCGAATCAAAAAGAATCGATCAATCGCGATCGACACAGGACTAGTATGGCCTCCCCGTGTCGGCAAGTTGCGTAGTGAGCAGTGCTCGGAGACACACACCTGTGTATGATGTTCTTGGCGTGCAGGTAGACCATACCCTGCGCGGTCTGACGCGCTACGTCAATGAGGTAGAGCATGGGCAGCGGCGTCTCCAGCACGTGCAGGTGCTGGTACAGCGACGAGCCCTCTAGCAAGTTGCGTGGTGAGCAGTGCTCGGAGACACACACCTGTGTATGATGTTCTTGGAGTGCAGGTAGTCCATAGCCCTGCGCGGTCTGACGCGCTACGTCGATGAGGTAGAGCATGGGCAGCGGCGTCTCCAGCACGTGCAGGTGCTGGTACAGCGACGAGCCCTCTAGCAAGTTGCGTGGTGAGCAGTGCTCGGAGACACACACCTGTGTATGATGTTCTTGGCGTGCAGGTAGTCCATGCCCTGCGCGGTCCGACGCGCTACGTCGATGAGGTAGAGCATGGGCAGCGGCGTCTCCAGCACGTGCAGGTGCTGGTAAAGCGACGAGCCCTCTAGCAAGTTGCGTGGTGAGCAGTGCTCGGAGACACACACCTGTGTATGATGTTCTTGGCGTGCAGGTAGACCATGCCCTGCGCGATCTGACGCGCTACGTCGATGAGGTAGAGCATGGGCAGCGGCGTCTCCAGCACGTGCAGGTGCTGGTACAGCGACGAGCCCTCTAGTAAGTTGCGTGGTGAGCAGTGCTCGGAGACACACACCTGTGTATGATGTTCTTGGCGTGCAGGTAGTCCATATGCCCTGCGCGGTCTGACGCGCTACGTCGATGAGGTAGAGCATGGGCAGCGGCGTCTCCAGCACGTGCAGGTGCTGGTACAGCGACGAGCCCTCTAGCAAGTTGCGTGGTGAGCAGTGCTCGGAGACACACACCTGTGAATGATGTTCTTGGCGTGCAGGTAGTCCATGCCCTGCGCGGTCTGACGCGCTACGTCGATGAGGTAGAGCATGGGCAGCGGCGTCTCCAGCACATGCAGGTGCTGGTACAGCGACGAGCCCTCTAGCAAGTTGCGTGGTGAGCAGTGCTCGGAGACACACACCTGTGTATGATGTTCTTGGCGTGCAGGTAGTCCATGCCCTGCGCGGTCTGACGCGCTACGTCGATGAGGTAGAGCATGGGCAGCGGCGTCTCCAGCACATGCAGGTGCTGGTACAGCGACGAGCCCTCTAGCAAGTTGCGTGGTGAGCAGTGCTCGGAGACACACACCTGTGAATGATGTTCTTGGCGTGCAGGTAGTCCATGCCCTGCGCGGTCTGACGCGCTACGTCGATGAGGTAGAGCATGGGCAGCGGCGTCTCCAGCACATGCAGGTGCTGGTACAGCGACGAGCCCTCTAGCAAGTTGCGTGGTGAGCAGTGCTCGGAGACACACACCTGTGAATGATGTTCTTGGCGTGCAGGTAGTCCATGCCCTGCGCGGTCTGACGCGCTACGTCGATGAGGTAGAGCATGGGCAGCGGCGTCTCCAGCACGTGCAGGTGCTGGTACAGCGACGAGCCCTCTAGCAAGTTGCGTGGTAAGCAGTGCTCGGAGACACACACCTGTGAATGATGTTCTTGGAGTGCAGGTAGTCCATGCCCTGCGCGGTCTGACGCGCTACGTCCATGAGGTAGAGCACGTGCAGGTGCTGGTACAGCGACGAGTCCTCTGGCAAGTTGCGTGGTGAGCAGTGCTCGGAGACACACACCTGTGTATGATGTTCTTGGCATGCAGGTAGTCCATGCCCTGCGCGGTCTGACGCGCTACGTCGATGAGGTAGAGCATGGGCAGCGGCGTCTCCAGCACATGCAGGTGCTGGTACAGCGACGAGCCCTCTAGCAAGTTGCGTGGTGAGCAGTGCTCGGAGACACACACCTGTGTATGATGTTCTTGGCGTGCAGGTAGTCCATGCCCTGCGCGGTCTGACGCGCTACGTCGATGAGGTAGAGCATGGGCAGCGGCGTCTCCAGCACGTGCAGGTGCTGGTACAGCGACGAGCCCTCTAGCAAGTTGCGTGGTGAGCAGTGCTCGGAGACACACACCTGTGTATGATGTTCTTGGCGTGCAGGTAGTCCATGCCCTGCGCGGTCTGACGCGCTACGTCGATGAGGTAGAGCATGGGCAGCGGCGTCTCCAGCACGTGCAGGTGCTGGTACAGCGACGAGCCCTCTAGCAAGTTGCGTGGTGAGCAGTGCTCGGAGACACACACCTGTGTATGATGTTCTTGGCGTGCAGGTAGTCCATGCCCTGCGCGGTCTGACGCGCTACGTCGATGAGGTAGAGCATGGGCAGCGGCGTCTCCAGCACATGCAGGTGCTGGTACAGCGACGAGCCCTCTAGCAAGTTGCGTGGTGAGCAGTGCTCGGAGACACACACCTGTGAATGATGTTCTTGGCGTGCAGGTAGTCCATGCCCTGCGCGGTCTGACGCGCTACGTCGATGAGGTAGAAGCATGGGCAGCGGCGTCTCCAGCACGTGCAGGTGCTGGTACAGCGACGAGCCCTCTAGCAAGTTGCGTGGTAAGCAGTGCTCGGAGACACACACCTGTGAAAGATGTTCTTGGAGTGCAGGTAGTCCATGCCCTGCGCGGTCTGACGCGCTACGTCCATGAGGTAGAGCATGGGCAGCGGCGTCTCCAGCACGTGCAGGTGCTGGTACAGCGACGAGTCCTCTGGCAAGTTGCGTGGTGAGCAGTGCTCGGAGACACACACCTGTGTATGATGTTCTTGGCGTGCAGGTAGTCCATGCCCTGCGCGGTCTGACGCGCTACGTCGATGAGGTAGAGCATGGGCAGCGGCGTCTCCAGCACGTGCAGGTGCTGGTACAGCGACGAGCCCTCGCACCACTGCGTCACGATCGCCAGCGACGGCTTCGACACGCAGCCCATGAACAGCAGGATGTTGCAGTGCCGTGTCTTGCGCAGCACTGCCACCTGCAACCGTCCTCGCCTGCTACAGCTGAGCCAAACGAATGGCTCAGCTAGAATCAATTAATGAATCCACGCCACTTTCGAACGAGGTGAAATATTTGACAGATTTTCGTTTTTTTTCCGTAATATTAGCTAAATTTATAATATTAATTAGATTACAAACGAAAAAAACGGATACGGATATTAAATAGACGACGTAAAGTTGATTTGTTATATCGAATAAGGTAGAAGATGGCGTCAATTAATGACATCATTTGCATTCGCCAGTATACTGGAAACATTTCGGAACCCACCCAGTCATAATCATCCCTACTAAAAAAAATTACAGCTTGTGAAACGTAAATTACATGTAAATAAAGATGTATCAGTAAAATTAGTTTTATTCAGTGTCGAATATTCGTATAAATATAAGAAATCATTTTAATGCTGCTGTGTTTCCTAAAAGAACATTGAGATCACCTCGTTTTTGAAAGCTTGCAGCTGTGCAGGCGTTGGTGTCTTCACATTCAGTGTCTTCACAGCAACTGGGCCGTGCCAATGTGCCTTGTACACCGTTCCAAAACTGCCCGAACCTGAAAATACAAAATACTGATAACTTGACAAAAATATCTCCGTGTAAAACATAAAAATGTAACTATCGTGAACTTTTTTATTAATAAAAACTAGCTGTTACCCGCGGCTTCGCCCGCATGGTCACTGGGAAATGAACTATCCATTGCTTTTTGAATTGAAAGAAAACTGAGTTTTATAGATTTGTCAGAGATACAGCCATTAAAAGGAAACTGAGCAAAATTGATTCGTCAGCCTATTTAAATAAATGTTTTGAAACTCAGAGTATAGGAAAGCATAAAAATAGCCTGTTTATTCCAAATGGAAATGGGATATTTTTTAATTAAAGGAAACTGAGCATAATTATCCGTCAGGGATGCAGACTTTTGAAAAGAAACTGAGCTAAATTGATTCGTCAGAGATGCAGTTTTCTGAATTGAAAGGAAACTGAGCCAATAAAAGATCTGTCAGAGATGCAGCCTTTTGAGTTGAAAGGAAACTGAGGTTAATAGGTCCATCAGAGATGCAGCATTTGGAATTGAAAAGAAACTGAGCTAAATAGGAAATTTTGAATTGAAAGGGAAGATCTGTGGGAATTCTGATTAACTGAATTTTTGAAAAAAAACTAACTGAACACTATTTTAAGACGCTACTGTACACAATGTTATATGTTTTTCCATTCGGAGAAAGAATGTGGAGATTCTGAGCATTTGACACACGCGAACATGCTACATACAGCTGACCATGGGAGAAGCACGGTTTTTCTAAGTTGACCCCCGCTACATGTAACGTTTGCCCTTGCGCTTTATTAATTGTCATTGCAAAACTGAACTTAATAGGGAACTGCAACCTTTTGAATAGAAATTCGCATTAGCATGACTGGGACGCCTAATTTTAATTGAAGCTTATGTGAGGGCACACCTGACAACTCTAGAGAATTTAGAAACTGCGGGATATGAAGTGCTCTGTTCTGTGTCCATAACTGTGTCTACTGACAAATACTCTGTTATTTCTCCTGCTACTTCGCTTAATATATCTGAATTTATTTTGTTAACGCTCTAATTTTTTGTGCAAGAATCACCCTTTCACATAACCATTTGTCTTCATGCATGTTGTTCGTTAAATCTGAATAAACGCTCGCAATTAATTCGGAATGACTCTGTACTAAATTACAAAAATCACTCGTCAATTTAACGCAGCCCTTAGCATCCGTTTCCAACCACCCATCGCCAATTTTTAATAGTGTGTCAGCATAGTTTCCAGCATTGATATCATTATACAAATGCACTCTCATATTCGTAGTTAAACTGAATTTTGTCACCTTGTTCCATAAAATAGACGACTTGAGGCATGCTTCAATTTCATCTGCAGGTGTGCCTTTTAAATAATTTTTAAAATCAAAACAACAAAACCAATTCAAGACACAACACGAATCCGAAAACGATAGCCAAAATATAATCGAATCAACTTAAACCAAATCACAAAACAAATCGCAGAAAACCGAAATCGAAAGCAGTAGTCAATATAAATATAACCAACGAAAAAGAAGTAAGTGTATAGGTACCGTATACACTATCTATACTATTAATATTCCTTTTAAATATTGTTAAACAACCTAAAACAACGAAAACCAATTCACGATTCTAAATAAACAAAATCCAAAATCAAAGCCAGTCTAAATATGTATAAAGGAATACCAACCAAATCAACAAAACCGATCCAAGAAAATACACAAATCCGAAAATGAAAGCCAATATAAATCCATTCAACCTTAACCAAATCACAAAGCAAATAACAAACATAATGATTTCAAATAACAAACAACTAGAGATGAAGCGTATATACTAGAACAGATCCAGGGACTAAGTATTTAACGAGACTAGGTTGCACCTATTCCAACTTTTAAAATACTTGATCCATCTAGTCTCACTGTGCCTACGCGTCGTACTCGTATTTTGTTGCCGTATTTACTAGGCGCTTACGGTCGTGTTTGCCTAAATCATTAGTTTGTCAGTCATTTGAATTTGAACCATATTTCAATGCACATAAAAGTAACGTGACGCGCACTCGTGTTGCGTAAGAATATATTCTGTCCTTGTTTAACTACACTATTCCGCAGTCTTTCTATCTTTGTCTGTCAATACTCGAGACTCGAGACTAGTCGGGACTCGGGACTTCAATCAAATCAAATACTAGTACAAGAGCAAAGTACGAGATCAAGAGTACAAGTACAAGGCAGACGAGTGTCTGTTGTTCTAGTACGGTATGGACTCATGCGAATGTGATCTCGGTGGACACTTACGTTTCTATGACTATGTAATATATTATTTTGATGAATATAAATTATATAATTAATATTAAGTAAATGTATCATGCTTGCTGTCAGTAATATATAAATGCGTTCATTTACTCACATTTACTAATCTATATATTTTATAATCGTTCTTATGGAGTAAACTTCACCAACTCACTTTTTATTTTTTTGTTTTTCAGAACTATTCTTTTTTTAATGTTTATTTATAAGAATTATACAAACAACATTCTAAAAAAATATAATAATTAGTCTCGGTACTATAAAGATTATATGAGAAATAATACTTATATGAAAATAATCTACTTCAAATTCTCCCTTCCGTCATTATGAGATACTTTATACTGCATCAACCTATTACAGAATTATAGCAATAGTAAAAAAAACATAGCAGCTTAAAATCAATAGAGAGATACAAAATCAATAGCTGTGAATGTTCCTATTCTAGAGTTTTTCAAATAAATTGACAACTTTAAGAAAAAAAAACATTTAAAACAAATTTTAGAAAATATGAAACTATTCCGTAACCGCGCCATCTACACGTACATTGTAGTACTACATCGAGTAAAGAAAGTAGTTTAATGGCGGAAGAGCTTTTGAAGTAAATTATCTTAATTTATTTCTCGTATAATCTCAATCCTCGTAATTTAGTAACGAGAATAATTATAATATTTTTTTTAGAATTGCAGTTGTATAATTGTTATAAATAACATTTAAAAAAGAATTATTCTTAGGGTTGTCTGCAAAAGGAGACATATTTTGATTATTTTATGTATTAGTTTTGTACGTGATAGATAGTGTTTATTTTAAAAACTAACTAGAAACACTCACACGTTTATTGTTTAAAAAATGGCTCCCAAAGTAAATAGTGTGGCTTGGGATCATTTTACGGTCAAAGGGCAACAAATGGCCGAGTGTAATATTTGTAAAATACAACTGAGTTTTAAAAGTTCTGTATCAAACCTTACAAAACACATTAAACGTAAACATCCATTCGTAAGTTTAGTTAGAAGAAACGACGTTCCAGCTCCAGTGATAACATCCCAGACTAACCAGCAACCACCAATATCAGACCAATCTGCTGGAATAGTTCAACAACCTGAAGGTGAACAACGGCCGTCCACTAACTTGGTGCGATTAGTGCAACCGGGTGCGAGAACTATAGCTTCATACATATATAAAAAAAATGCTGATAAATGTAAATCTGATATAGATAAGCTAATAATGGATTTATTTATTATGGACTTTCAACCATTCCGTATTGTAGAAGACAAAGGTTTTAGACAATTAATTCAGTCTGCTTTTCCTTTTTATGTTATTCCAAATCGTAAATACTTTGCAAACAATTTATTGCCAAGTCGCTACGAAAGTTTGCGAACATCAAAAATGACGGAAGTCGCAAATGATGTGGAATCGATTTCTATCACAGCGGATATATGGACATCAAGTACAAACGACTCGTACATGGGTATTACTGGTCATTATATCAATAAAAATGACTGCACCCTAAAATACATTTGAGCACATACCAGTGCCAACTTAGCGACGGAACTGTTACGAATAACGTAGGAATGGAAAATGTCCGGAAAAATATTGTTAGCAGTGTCGGATAACGGCGCCAATATTAAAAAAGCCATGATAGATTTAGGCTGGAAGCATTTTGGTTGCTACGCACACACGCTAAATTTAGCCGTCCAAGAAGGATTGTCTGCGACACAAGAATTGGTTTATCTGATTGATAAAGTAAAAACTATTGTTGCTTACTTCAAAAGATCCGCTCTAGCCTGGGAAAAATTAAAAAAATACCAGGAACAGGCCGGAAAAGCTCCTAAAAGACCTCTGCAATGTGTAAGCACGAGGTGGAATTCTACATTCCACATGTTGCAGAGGTTTGTAGAATTAAAAGAAGAGGTTAATAGTGCGCTCTCTAACTTAAACGTTAATAATATGTCCTTAACTGCAGTTGATTGGAAACTTTGTGAACACATTTGCAATATTTTAAAACCCTGTGAAGAAGTTACAAGGGAAGTAAGTGCTCAGAAATATGTAACAGGGAGTATAGTGATACCTATAACGACAGGGTTAGTCAAATCTCTGGAAAATATTAACACAAGTGCATACCTCGACACCGCCCAAAAATTACGACAAGACTTGCTGGCCGCTATAAAAAATAGATTTATTAATTTAGATAAAAGTGGCACATTTACTACCTGTATGTTCCTGGATCCTAGATTCAAACTGTATTTTGAAAATCAATGTGTAGCTGACACTACAAAACAAAGGATAATAGAACTTATTACGTCTATTATTAATAAAGAGGATCGAAATAGTTCCCAACTTCAAAATGAAGAGCAGCAGCTATCGGATCAAGAAGCAAATCCTCCAGCTCAGCCACAAATTAATTTAGTATGGCAGCACTATGCAGAAAAAATGAAAAATATTCAACCCAAGGGCACGGCAACTTCTCGAGCGATTTTAGAAGTTCAAAGATATTTGGACGATAAAGTTGTGTTGCCATGTGAGAATATGTCACCACTAGAGTGGTGGAAAAAGCGGAAAGATGTATACCCGCATTTGTATGCCCTGGCCCTCACCAAGTTGAATGCAATGGCCACGAGTGTCCCTTGTGAAAGATTATTTTCCTCATGTGGCTTACTGCTAAATGACAGGAGAACGAGGCTGGGAACTCGAAAAGTGCAACAATTAATGTTCTTAAATCAAAATTCAAGTAATTAAAGTAGTAATTTTTATTATCTATATATAAAAACAATAACTGTAGATTAAGTGAAAAAAAAAAACAAAATAAAAAAAAACAAAATAAAAAAAAAACAAAGAAAAGCAAAATCTGATTACATTGAAATAAAAATGAATTAAAATCTTTTAAATACGCCAACAATCTACAATGTAGTACGTTGACAGTCCTAAGCCTGTGTAAAGTATGAAGGGAAGATTAAAATTCATTATTGTACACGTTTCAGTAGTACGCGCGTAAAGCATACTTGAAACTAAAGTTCATCCTATTCCAACAATACTAAACTTTGTGCGTACTTGATACTTTATGGACTAGGTGGAACAGGTATTTGGATCGAGTATTTATACGGAATTGGACTAGGTGCACCTAGTACGAAATTTACCTAGTACGACTCATCTCTACAAACAACCGAAATCGAAAGCAGGTAGTCGAATAAGCTACTAAATAGAAACAATTTAAGCGTATAGGTACCGTATGCACTATAAGTTGACTCGCGGATCAACGGCGGGAGTTAAGTACATGCCAGGAAACATTTCGTTACCGCGTTTTAAAAACCTAGTAACGACATCTAGCGGAATCAATTTAAACTATGTATACGTTAGTTTAATAAGAACTCTCAAAAAATATTTTTCTTATAATTTTGCACAATTTTTCTTATTGTAATACCGATTCATTCATAACCACATATAAGAACTGTATTCATTTCCGTTCAATAAATATTACTAAGGCTTATTAATAAGGCTTACTAAGAACTGTTTCTACCACAGTTAAGTAATAGTTAAGGGTGAAAGCGTGACAGGTGGTGATAGTATTTCTGATCCACACTTATAATCACGCCTGTGACCCTTGCGGGGTAGGTAGAGCATCAATGGATTACTTAATATTCAGTGAATTACAATGCACCAAAACGTTTTAAGAAAATCAGCTGGTGAATTTTATGTTTTTTATCGCTCTTTTCCCGGTCTTGCGTGGAAAAATACAGATCCATAAATTTTTTATCTTAACTTTGGTAAAAAGACATAATAATCCAGATATTCTGACCTTCTGTGTTCGTCCATCGTACCGTCGTCCGTCTTGTAGAATCACGGTGGCGCCACCTAGCTGAATTTAATTTTGCAACATATTCGATTTTCCCACGGAAATGTTTTTCCGCTGAAAAAAGTATCCTATGTCACTCTATAGCCGCCGAACTATCCCCATACCAAAATTCATGCCATGCCGACGCTCTGTTGCGACGTGAAAGAAGGACAAACTTTTGCAACATATTCTATTTTCCCACGGGAATGAGATGTTTTTCCGCGGAAAAAAGTAACCTATGTCACTCTACAGCCACCGAACTATCCCCATACAAAAAATCATGCCATGCCGACGCTCTGTTGCGACGTGAAAGAAGGACAAACAAACAAACAAACACACTTTCGCAATTATAATATTACTAGTATGGATAAAATAGTGTTTTGGAGGAAATTCGACAGCAAGCAATTTCGGCTCTTCGTGTTACTGTTTAAATGATGTCAATCGCAATAAAGTGGGGTGTAGAGAGGTGCGTACGAGGTGGTGTGGTGTGCGAGCGTACCGATGCGCGGTTCGATGAGTATCTCGTCGGCGTGTATGACCCAGTCGTCGTAGCGGAGGATTGTGTGAGGTGCGTGCGAGGTGGTGTGGTGTGCGAGCGTACCGATGCGCGGTCCGATGAGTATCTCGTCGGCGTGTATGACCCAGTCGTCGTAGCGGAGCATTGTGTGAGTGAGGTAGGGTATAGTGAGGTGCGTGCAAGGTGGTGTGGTGTGCGAGCGTACCGATGCGCGGTCCGATGAGTATCTCGTCGGCGTGTATGACCCAGTCGTCGTAGCGGAGGATTGTGTGAGGTGGGGTATAGTGAGGTGCGTGCAAGGTGGTGTGGTGTGCGAGCGTACCGATGCGCGGTCCGATGAGTATCTCGTCGGCGTGTATGACCTAGTCGTCGTAGCGGAGGATTGTGTGAGGTAGGGTATAGTGAGGTGCGTGCAAGGTGGTGTGGTGTGCGAGCGTACCGATGCGCGGTTCGATGAGTATCTCGTCGGCGTGTATGACCCAGTCGTCGTAGCGGAGGATTGTGTGAGGTGGGGTGTAGTTAGGTGCGTGCGAGGTGGTGTGGTGTGCGAACGTACCGATGCGCGGTCCGATGAGTATCTCATCGGCGTGTATGACCCAGTCGTCGTAGCGGAGGATTGTATGAGGTAGGGTGTAGTGAGGCACTTGTGAGATGGCGTGGTGTGCGAGCGTACCGATGCGCGGTCCGATGAGTATCTCGTCGGCGTGTATGACCCAGTCGTCGTAGCTCTCGCGCGGTGACAGCGCGTGCTTCCACGACTCGTCAGCAGAGCGCGCGCGAGCTCTCCGCGGCCGTAACGTGCCCGTCGGCGACGCCTTCAGTATAATATTATACAAGTTTAATATTTTTTTCGTTGATAATCTATTACATTGTATTGCTAGACAGGCTTCAATCAATCAAACAATATGTACTGATTTCTTATATTTACGCAAACACTACACATTGCAATAAAACTATTTTTTACGTATTTTCGTGTATATTAAGTTATTTTATATTCCCGACGTGTCGAGTACTTAAGAGCACTCATGGTCACAGGCGGGCCTGAGGTGTTCGATATCCCAATGCCTTAGTTAAATATGGCTACTCCCAGATTAATAGATTAACCTGTGGCCATAGAGTATTAGAGGGCTAGAGAGTACAAGTACATACTTAACTGAAATAAAGTGCGCTTAAATAGTGATAGCGTTTTCTTAGTCGCATTAAACCTTCGATCAACAATACCAACTAGATGTCGGGTCGGCGCAAGAAATCCATCTCAGTAAATAAGAGCGCACATGAGACGTGAGCTCTTGCACGTGAGAGTGTAGCTCGCAAGGCAATAACGAGAAAAAGAACTTTATTTGTTATAACTTAAGGTTGACTTCACACTAAATGTCATTTAATTTATGTCTTTTCATAGTTTATTTTCATGCGGACAGTATTTAGCTATGATTTTGTATGTGACCCGTTATCTAGTTGGTATTGTTGATCGAAGCATTAAACGAAATCAGTATTGTCTAGTAGTAATCGTATATACTGGATGATGTTTTTTACCGTCTGGAAAAAAATAGGCTGTGACAGGTAAAAACGGATTAGAAGCCTATGGCTATATTAAGAAATTGATCTATCAATAGACACTACTTTAATTTTGATTAGAGCCTTCGGGAATGGTCCCCAAAGCTCTATTATAAATCTTTAAGAACATTGAGAAGTCCTGGAGACGTGAGAAATTGGGGCACTGTAAAAGGAGGTCTTTACTCAGCAGTGGGACTTAAGTAGGCTGTTAAATTTGTTAGTTGATATGTAAGATGAGAGCTGTGGTAGCTCAGATGGTTAACGTTCGCTGTAAATATAACAGAACGCGAGTAGCACGTGTTCGATCTCGGCCGGCACCAATGAAATTGTTAATTGCAATTTTAAGTGCTGATTTACCACGTGCTCGGCGGTGAAGGAAAACATCGTGAGGAAACCTGTATGTAAAAAAAACATTTCGAAAACATGTGAAGTTCGCCAACACGCATTGGGTCAGCGCGGCGGACAATTCCTTGCCCTAAAACCCTCAGAAATGAAGGGAGGCCTGTGCCCAGCAGTGGGACGTATATAGGCTGTAACTTTACTTTACTTTATGTAAAATGCTGCTGCCCATGTCCTGTTTTTCCCTCTGTTGTCTTTTACAACACCCACGGGGCTATATGGGGTAGTCGATATTCTGACACCACTGCTACACAGTTAAAAACCGGCCAAGAGTTGGGCCGGCTCAGTGTAGGGTTCCGTAGTTTCTCGTCCGTCACAATAAGTGTTCCCACTTATGAGTTTAAAGGTGGGTATCCATTATGTTCGCGCTCCAGCAGCGCTCCGCGCTCCTGCAACTGCTCCCGGTAGTGGATACTGTTGTTTCCATCCGAGTTCAAAATTATTTTCCTAGAAAGTCCTTATAAAGTTCTACTTTTCAGATTTTTTTCATATTTTCTAAACTTATGGTTCAAAAGTTAGAGGGGGGGGGGGGGGGGGGGACACATTGTTTTTTACTTTTGGAGCGATTATTTCCGAAATTATTGACATTATCAAAAAATGATTTTAGTAAACCTATTCATTTTTAAATACCTTTTCAACAATATATCACACGTTAGGGTTGAAATTAAAAAAAAATCACTTCCCACTTTACATTTTTTTCCAATTTTTATTTTATCACTTTGTCGGCGTGATTGATACACATATTGGTACCAAATTTCAGCTTTCTAGTGCTAACGGTCACAGAGATTAAGCGAGTTCCTAGTTGACTACGGAACCCTAAAAAGATAAAAGTACCAAAAATTACAATTTCATAGGTATAGAGCTTGTAATAAGTAAATATTATTCATTACTTGTGTGCTTTGACTGTGCTGTTGGTCCCCTCCCTTGTCCTTATCTTCCTTGTTGTGTTTGCCGGACGTCAGGTACTTGGTGGACTGCGGAGAATTGTTGCACTGGACAGTTACAGTTACATAATATTTACATAATAGCCAATGAAAATACCACAGTCAGGTCTCTTTCGGTAAACCAATGGGTGGGAAAAAATGGAGAATGTCAGTTAAATATTTTCCATATGTTATCCAGAATATTAATAGGGAATAACTTCAAGTGTTCATTTTCCTGATCTGCACTCGCTAAACTACCTCACGTGTCTATTACAGAAAGATATATAATAACAAAATTAAGTATCATTAGCATTTTGACGGCTTCGTGGCGCTGTGACTTAGCAATAAGTTGCGGCACCGAAGGCAGCGGATTTGAATCCCGCACGGAACAAGTATTTCTATGGCCTACAAATAATTGTTCCGGGTCTGGATGTTTGTTTTTTTTTTTGAAATTAATGTACGTAAACTGCCTCCGCGATACAGAAGAAAATCCTAATGCAGGTAACGGGTAGTAACGTTTTTTTTTTAAGAAAGTTAAAGAAGAATGACTTAAAAGTTTAAGAAATAATAATAATAGTTATAAATACGTGCAGGTAATTACAACACTAACACTTTGTTATATACGCCGAAGCACTTCAAGAAACGATTTGTAGAATAGTATATTACCCCACGAGGGAGGAAAGTATGACATTGCAACCCGCGTGGTATTGTCACCCGAACCGAAGGCGAGGGTGATAAGACTTTTACTTTCCTCCAGTAGTCCATTTAGTATTTATTATCATAAGATCGAAAGTTCGATTTAAATTCAAGTAATATGATTTATTCTCAAAGTATCATGACATAATACACTTTTGACGTTTATAAACTATAGAGCTAAAAATTTGGCGCATGCGTACTAAATTAATAATCATTGAATTGGGAGACAATATGGCACCTGCATCCCTGAAAATAGGGTCGAAATGCGAACTTTCGATCAAGGTATGATTGAAATTTATTTATTGATGTAAGCGCCTTGTCATTAGCGTAGGTGACGATAGCGACAGTAACTGATTCGGGCGAAGATTAATTGTTGTATACCCATTTTAAAATTTTATTAATTTTATTTAGTCTAAGTATGTATTTTTGACCAATAAATAAATGTAATTATTGAATAGTTTTTAATTTGCATTCTTTACTTCTTCATAATATACACACATCCACACGACACGATGCGTCACTATGCCAAACGTAAGTGCGACAAAGAACGCGCCTGGCGGCGTCCAACTTCCTAATTTAACATTAGAGTAGTAAAGCCCATACAATTATTTTTTATATAATAAGGGTGATAAACGAACACACCGTCTACCTGATGGTAAGTGGATGCTGTGGGCCATAGACACATACATCGATTATCGATTATCGATTAAGAATCGAAATCTAGATGGGTTGTTACACCAGACGATTAATATGGAACGCCTCTTTCCAGTAAAAAGGTTTTCCAGTTCTCCATACTCGCCGTATAAAACACAGTAAATACATTATCTTGCTATTTTAAGATGATATTCATAAATGTCAGGACTTGAAACAATTGTAGTACAAACCTGATTATTTTTTCTCTGGTGTTCAGCCAGGGTCATAGGCCGCTGTACCATGTTGATGCACACATTGGGTGCAGAGTTGGAGCGGTCCTGCTGATTGAGCGAACGAGGATGCTGTGTCCTGTAACCACGGAGAGGATACTGTATTCATTTCCCTTGTTGTGCACAAACGAATACGCCTTTTATGGCTACACTAGTCGGTTATTTTTCCATACTAACATAGAAAGGTCACAACTCCACTGTTTGATTATGTACATCCAAAACTAAGAAAGATATTCACTTTTTTCGTTTATTTATAGGTGCGTAATCATAACAGTAAAAAAGTATTTATTAGAAAAGTTGAATGCCTGGAAAAATTCATATTTTAACACTTTATAACGCAACTTTCAGTGTATTGTACCAGTTAGCAATTTATACAACAGCTTATATTAACTAGTTCAGCTTTGAGAATTCTCTCTGAACTTGTTTTGATTATTTAACTTGCACTTATAGTTTTCATTTCAACCTTGACATATGCAGAAAACGAAAGAGAAAGAGAAAGAAAAAGAGAGAAAGAGAAAGAGAGAGTTGGCAGAGAAGAAATTGACATGGAGGCATTTAAAATAAAACAATCAGTTTATGTTTCGAAAGTTGAAATAAATTAATTATGGGAAAAAAATTTAGCATTTTTTTCCATAAAAACCTTTTGTTCCAGGGTCTGCTCATGTAGTAAATTGTTCTACTAACCAAAGTTACACTCGCCTTAGTCTGTTTGTATTATTCTAAAACACAAATTTCAATATCCATCTCGGAGAAATATTAAAATAATTAAAAAAAATGCAATTAACACAAAAGTTGTTAATTTAAAACATCAACAAGCAAAATTCTTTATACAGTTACAATAAGTACTACTACTATTAAACAACAACAATATGCAACAATCACAATTAGTACTAGTGCAATTTAAAAGCACATCTCTAAACAAGTTTAAATATTCACCAATGAACATCAAAGTCTTTTATCTTCTTCGCCGGAGAGACAGACCTGTGTATATAGCATTGGCTAGTTTAGTTACTTTTATTGCTTACATATGTTGCTATGTCGAAGCCCAATAATTTAATTAGCACTGTAATTGGTACGGTCAGACCAAGTAAGTAAAATGCTGGCTTTACTAAATGACTAAAAAAGTTTGTCTAATGATTTAATGTCATAAAAAAGGCCGATTTGGGAAATGTCAGATAAAGATTGTTCATAGAATAAAATAAAGTATACATTTACCGTTACAGCCTTATAACTCCTCGGCTGTGAACATAGGTCTCCCCCATAAATTGCCTGGAAATATAGTTGCCACGCTTGGCAAGCGGATTGGCAACCACAGTTTTTTTTTATTTTAATCAATTTTAGGAAGACACTACTGCCTATATGATTTGGTACCCGTTGTCGACCCTTACGACACCCACGTGATGATATCGGGTAGTAGATATTTTTACATCGCCACTACTCGGTTATCTCTATATATAAATATTTATTGCTATCCGTTAGTCTCGCTAAAACTCAAAAACTTTTTGTTTGTGTTTGAATGGGTTCCTAGATGGTTTAGATTCACATTTCGAGCCAGTAGGTGGCACTGTCGTCAAGATTCAGAGATCACCCGTGCGAAGCCGCGGATCGCTAGTGTAACATAAACAAATTAAAAACTACAGTTGTAAAAATTTTCGATTTTTTGACTTTTACTTTCAATTTCGGTATTTAACGGATAATTGAAAAATCGACCTTTATTTATATGTTTCTTATAACAAGATTATAAACGAGGGGTGGGCGGACTTGAAGTCTTATGACAATCTCTACTAGTGATACTCAGAGAAAAAAAGGTAAATAAAACCTAAATGTAATCTGCCTATATTTCCGATGCCATATTGTAATAGCATAAGAATCTCCACCACCCCATTTCATGCCATGGCTGTCGTAAGAGGCGACTATGATTAGATTAGAAGTTCCAGCAAAGAACTTGTAGCTTCTGACAGATTACCCCAGGTAGGATTGTAGTCAAACAATGGCTTACCTACAATAATATAGAAAATAAGATGGTGATATACCATCTTGTTTTTTCCAGATATAGAATACTCAAGTACTGGTGAGGGGTGAATAAAACTTCTATATTTCTATACTATGCTTTGTAGTTTTGTATGGTAAGTAACTAATGCAAGAGACCCAATTTTTATATAATTTATTAGTTTAACTGCTTCGATGGTCTAGTGGTCGTAAAGGCACTTGCTGATTATGATTTGAATCCTAGATCGGGTCAAAATCATTTATTGGGTTTTTCTTTTAAGGAATTTTCAGTAGCAGCACTAAGTCAGGCAATTGGGGGTATTTCATCCCCGTGCTCAGGAAAACAATTGCTATAGCCACTATCAACCAACAGGCCCCTATGGCAAAAGCGATCATACATGCTTATTGGTTACTATAGAATTGCAAACAAATGCAACATAAAACCAGACTAAATTTTAACAAGGCTGATTACGACAAAATAAATACAAAATTGTTATTAATGTTACCTGCAGACAAAAGGTGTGTGAAATCACAATTTGAAACCCTTCATGGAGCACTGATAGAAGCTATCAACTTGTACACACCACGGTTAGATATCTGTCTAAATAACACAAACAAGCCCTGGCTTAGTAAAAACAAAACTAAATACCTCATCAATAACAAATTAGCCTTGTGGAACAGATATGTGCTGACTAGACTAGAACAGCATTATAGAGACTACAGAAACACAAACAACCAATTATTAAATCAAAATAGAAAAGCCAGAACAAGCTGTAGGCAGTTGGACAGCAAGTAACAGCAAAAGTAAACATTCCTACTATTTTGCTAAACAAGCAAGAACAAAGTGTGACCCAACCTCACGAAATTGCCACGGTATTTGCGGACCAATTTGCGACTCTTTTCCAAACAGAACCACATGACCAACAGCCCACATTAGACCGGACACTTCGAGTAGAGGATTCCATTGAAGAAATTCTGTTCACACTAGACCAAGTCAACCAAGTCACTTCAGAAATGAAAACAGATTCATAACCGGGACCAGATGATATACCAGTAGGTATATTGAACAAACATAACCCATGTCACTATTTAACAAAAATAATGCAAACATCGTACGAGATAAGCATCTTACCGGACTTATGGAAAACAGCATTGGTGAAACCCATATTTAAAAAAGGAAGCCAACTAGAACCATTCAATTACAGATCCATCAGCTTAACCAGTGTGGTCTGCAAGGTTATGGAGAATATTATAGTCAATCATATAAGAAAAAAATCTCCAACTACAATATTTAATAGTTATCCCTAAACAGCAACATGGTTATATTTCACATCGTTCAATGATTTCTAATTTATTATTATGCCTTTTTTATAGAATAAGGGTAACAAACGAGCACACAGTCCACCTGATGGTAAGTGGATGCTGTGGCCCATAGACATCTACATTTATCCTCGATTAAGAACCAAAACGCAGGTGCGTTGTCACCCCTGAGGATTAGTCCTTCTTATGTCCATCTTAGGATGGAATGCCTCGTAACCAGTAAAAAGGGTCTCCGGATCTCTACACTCACCATACGAAACACAGCAGTGTTAAGGTGCTATTTTACGCTGGTATTCTGTGAGAGCGTGGTCCTTCCCCGGTCGAGCCGACCCATTCGTGCTACAACTATAATATAGCTGCAGCGTGGCTCTACCACGTATAAAATATTATCATTATGGACCAAAAACTTCAGCGAGAGAGAGCCTATTGATGAAATTGAAAAGAAAAAAAATGAAAAGCTTTCGATAGTCCATACGAGAAGACTCTACCAGAAACTAGAATACGTAGGAATACGTCGAAAACTACTGACTTGGATTGAGTATTATTTGCGTGGAAGAACCCTACAAGTAAGAATTGGTGAGACGAAGTCTGATCACATATAAATACATAGTGGAGTGCCACAGGGTACCGTTCTAGGCCCTGTTTTGTACATTATTTATACTTTTGACCTTCCGTATTGCCTACAGTGTAATGTGAGCATCTTTGCAGAAGATACTAAAATATTTACAAATCCACTAATTGACTACGACCGCCTTCAGGATAACCTGAATAAAATAGCTATTTTGTCCAAAGAATGGCTCATATATCTCAATGCTTCAAAATGTACTGTATAACACATAGGAAACCGTGACTGGTAAAGTTCAGGGAGTAAAAATTGCAGAAGACTTAAAGTGGGAAGAGCATACATATATTATCAATTGTCAAGAAAACTAAAGAACTAATTTACCTCGTGAGAAAAGTTTTCGCTGTCCTAAAATCGGAAATGATTCTTAAGATCCACAAAATATTTATCAGACCAATATTAGAATACGCATTTCAAGTCTGGAACCCCTACTTTATTAAAGTAATTGAAGGTTTGGAAAAACTACAGCATAGCTTAAAGTAACACGGCTATTGAAACGGCAGTCTTATAAAGTATGTTTGAAAGTTTTAAAACTTACAACATTTAAAAACCGCTGGGACCGAGGAGATCTAATCGAAACCTTTAAGATCTTAAGTGGACATTACGATGTTGAAGTTTGACAAATTGTTTATTCATAATGAAAATACTCACCTCAGGGGCAACTATCTTAAGCTATGTACCAGCTTTTCAAATAACAATTCCCACAAGCACTTCATTTAGACAGCCATTCACAGAGTGTAATAAGCTCCCAGAACATAGTTTCAGCCCAAAATGTGAACCAATTCAAAAATAGATTAATCATTTTCTGAACTGCAATAGGAGTAACTAGTGGGCACAAACAGGATACAGGCTTTATCAATTGTCTACAACTGCCTGCCTGCTAATGTATAATAATAATAATAAAATGCATTCAGCCGTAGGTCTACGTGTCACCATTGAGACTGGCCACAGTGACCGAAATTCAGTCTGGAGAACATAATTAAATTAGGTGTAACGTTCAAAAGAAAGTACAAAGTTAACTTGACTTACTTGCTTTGATCACCTCTGTTAATCATGTGATGGTAGCCAAAATGTGAGGGGTAGTGTAAAATACCAGCCTGAGTCTCTGGATTCTGAGCCAACAGTGCCGCATAGTATGTGTCGGATACTCGCATCTGCAATATCAATGATTAAAAAACTCATATAAAATGTTTTACATATTTTTTTATGAACTATCAAATGAGTACAAATAAGTACCATAATTATTGAAAAGTTGCATTTTAAATAAAAGTTTTTCGGTTTATAGAATATGTAACACACACAAGCCCTGGTGGCTGTAAAAGTCGTAGATCCCTCATTGACCCCTTTCTTGTCTTTTAGACATAAGTCCCAAACTACAGTTTAAAGAATCAACGTTATTATAATATTAAAAATGTAAAACTTTTGTAAAATGTGTAAAACTTGTTAATTTAGGTAAAAACTTGTGTTCAAATGAACTTTACGTTGGTATATTGTGTTATTCACCTGGTGACATATACTTGGCACTTTATCAGCACATCGCTGATGGAACTTGAAGTTACACTGCGAGCAATAAAAGCCGTTGAATAGCAGCCGCCGGCAACACTCGCAGAACGCCAGCGTGAAGAAAGTCTTCCGTGTGAACTGGTGTGAAATATGGGACATGATGGGCAACTTGTCCAACGTCCGAACTGTCACCTAACAAACATATTTTAGAATAAACATTTAAAATTTTGAATTTACAGGAATATGTAACTAATAAACCATAACTATTAAATAAGTTTAACCATTATCGTCACTTTTACATGTATTCAATAGAAATACGCAAATATGTTGTGTGGAGGGGTAACAAAACTTCACTTTTAGTTAACACTCCATTTGCAGCAGGCCATATCTTGCTAATCTAATTGCTGGTAGTTTATAGTGGATTACTCAAATTTAAAGTAATTTTTTTAAATGAAATTAAGGCTCTTATGAATGTTGTAATCTAAACCAATTTGCATAAATAAGACCTCAGAAAAGATCCAGCAATAAACAATGTAGTCTTTTAGATAATTTTTTTTAAATACCACGTTGCAGTTTCAGTTTCAGAGACCCTTGTAACTGGAAACAAGGCATTCCATTTTAATCCTCAGAGGTGACAACACATCTTCATTTTGATTCTTAATTGAAGACAGATGTTGATGTTTATGTAGGGACAAAGGCATCCACCTAACATCAGGTGGACTGTGCACCTGTATGTCACCCTTATTCTCTAAAACATACAATGGAAATGGCAAAATAACATGAACACTATTAAGTTGTTGCTGTTGCTCCTGTTTTATCCTGTATTAGGACTGTGTACATGTTTGATACACTTTATAAAAAAATTTATACAAAGTACCTATATTAATTTTTTTAAATATCAGTTTTAACAATATTATATCAGCAGCTTGGGAGCTTGCAAGAGTTATTTCCACACATCAATATCCTCAACATAATCTATTTTATAGTAACTCTTTCTTAGTACAATTTCCTTAACAAGGTTAAATTTATCTCAGGTTGTTACAGTATATTTTAGATTTAATTGTATAATTTTATGTATTTACTAAGAGCAGACACTTGAGACCTTAAATGAAGTAAAAACAAACTTAAAATCCACCTAATGATAAGTTTGCAATGGCCATCCCGTGAACACCTGCAGTTGTGCTGGCTGCAATTTCAAACAAGGAAGGCTACACTATGCTTTGCCTCACAAATAAAAATATTTTTTTAATTCAATATTATTTATAATAAAACTTATGGTCTCTTTCAATGTAAGTCATTCGTATGTTTAATTTAGCACTGGTTCAGAAAGTATCTCTCTCTTGGTCCTGGCAGCAACCAAAATGAAATCAAGCAGGATATTTTTTTATGTGGAAAAAGAACAGTTTACAATGATGGATTATGTTATACACATTTGTTGACCCCACAAATATATTAGATGTAGCTTAGTAAAAAAATAAAAATAAAATAAAATTGAAATTTCTATTTTACTTTTGTACATACTTATTATTTACAGAATAAATATCCCCTATTGTTACAAAATTACTTATATTTTTGTGTATCTCATACAATACATTTTAGTACATTGAAAGAGATCAAAGTTGATATATTAATTTGCTTAAATTATAAAAATAAAGTAAAATAGAAATATCAACCATAAATTTGCTAGTGATGGACACATTTTGTATATCTTCCACGATTTTCCTGTAAAAGCATATAGGTACATTGCCTCAAGAATGAATTACTGACTTTATGGCTTCGAGTACTGATACAAGCTTGCATCTGTTATTATTATTTACAGATTAAATATCACTTATTGTTACAAAATTACTTATATTTTTGTGTATCTTATACAATACATTTTTGTAAATATATTGAGAGAGATCAAAGTTAATATATTATTTTCCTTAAATTTTTGTGAAAGTCAGGCTTTAAGTTTTTAAATCACAAATTACTCATATCACCCTCTACTACAAAATAAATGTAATTTCTGTCTTATTATCTCATTGCAAAATACCATACAACACTCTGCTATGAATATGGATACTGGTGAGAGTAATACTTGTAAAGTACTAATTACCTAGTGGAGTCTCTGGGATAATTAAAAATGATTTATTTATTGCATATACTACGAGGGTGGATTGAAAAGTACTCGGCCTAACACAGATCCATTCAATTCTAAAAATCAAATCTACCCACATTATTTAGTTCAGTTCAGACTAGTTCATTGTGTGAAGTTCGAAACGTGTGCGATAATTAGTTGTGATTTTATAAATTTATTAACAAAGTAATCGGACATAATTTCCGCGAATGGAGCAAATCGAGCAGCGTGTCGTCATTAAGCACCTCCATAAGAAGGGGCTATCGTCAAAAGCCATCCATGATGACATGGTCAGTACATTAGGCGATTGTGCTCTGTCATATTCATTCATCAAAAAACGGATAGCAGAATTTAAGCGTGGTAGAGAGAGTGTGAAAGATGAACCCCGCTCTGGAAGGCCTTCGACGTCAACTACAGACGAAAATATTAAAAAAAGTACTTGATTTAATAATGGGAGACCGCGGATTAAAAATTAGAGAGATAGCCGAGATTATAGGCATCTCTTATGAACGAACTCAAAACATCATTGTCAACGAGTTGGGTTTCCACAAGGTGTCTGCGAGGTGGGTTCCGCGACTGCTTTCAGTTGAACAAAAAAGGACGCGATTGACTATTTCACGCGACTGTTTGGAGTTATTTGAAGCCGATGCAGATAATTTTTTGAATCGTTTTGTTACTATGGACGAAACATGGGTTCATTACTGTACACCGGAAACAAAACAACAATCAAAACAGTGGAGAAGACCTGGTTCACCACCCCCTAAAAAGGCTAAGTCGATTTTGTCGGCAAATAAGGTGATGGCTTCAGTATTCTGGGACTCGAAAGGTGTGATTATGATTGATTATCTTGAAAGGGGTCAGACTATAAACTCTGATTACTACTGCACCTTACTACGTCGTTTACGAGAGGAAATAAAAGAAAAACGTCGAGGAATGCTCAGAAGAAAAGTCCTGTTTCATCAAGATAACGCCCGTGTTCACACGTCAGTACAGTCAATGGCTGAAATTCACAACTGTGGCTTTGAACTGTTACCGCATCCGCCGTATTCACCTGATCTGGCACCATCAGACTTCTTTCTGTTCCCTAACCTAAAAAAGCACTTGGGAGATCAAAGATTTTCGACAAACGACGAGGTCAAAGCAGCTGTAGACGCATATTTTGACTCTAAGGAAGAATCATTTTTTTTTCAATGGTCTAAATGCTTGGAAGGGGAGGTGGCAAAAGTGTATTGAACTTGATGGTGATTATATAGAAAAATAAAAATATAACTGATTTAGTATGTGTTTATTTTCTTGGTTAGGCCGAGTACTTTTCAATCCACCCTCGTATTAATCACCATCATCATCATAATTACAGCCTTTCACAAGTCCACTGCTAAACATAGACCTCCCCCAAGGAATGCCTCAAAGCATGGTTCTGAGCCACCTGCATTCATTGACTACCAGCATGTCTTACCATGTCCTCAATCCATCTATGGGGGGACGCCCTACACTTTGCCTATTGGTAAAAGGCTGCCATTCGAGGACCTATTTTCTCATTGGTTATCGGTTCTTCGAGCTATATGGCCAGCCCATTGCCACTTCAGCTTACTAATCTGTAAGGCTATGTCAGTAACTCTGGGTCTACTGTTCTGTTCTGCAGTTATAGTCTGAAGTTTATAGATATATACACCTCAGGCTGAAATGCAGCAGGACAACTACCACTATTTGATGGCAGAAATGGGTAAGAGGGTATGGGTAATTCTAAAGCTAGCTGTTAATAGAAGTTATTATAATGCTTTGGATATATATGCAACGCCGACAAATAAAGAAGCACCTCGTCAGTCTTTCCGCAGCTTTCTATGAGTTTAGGTGAACATATAACCTGTCAAACCAAACTCCTAGGCAGAAAAGGAGAACTACCAACTACTAAGACATACGTTACAGGCTCATGCAGGCCGGCAGTTTTACAAAAATCACGGTTGTGATTGTGAATAACCTACCGTGTAATGCAGTGTAGCAGCCAGATTAATCAAACCGAAACGGGAATAAATAATATATACTCCGCTGCTACCATAACGCGGAAGGCGAGAATAAATAAAAAAACATTTTATTTCCTAATTATTCTTGGCTACTGAGATACTGCGGACTGTATATAGATAATTTGACGTTCTTATAAAGAAACAAGAAGCAGCCGCAAATATCATTCAGCGCCACACCGACTTCACACGCCGCTATCGTCACGTATCCGTCGACCAATGGTGAGCCGTTTCTTCAACGCCGCAGTTCGTTTCCTCTTGCTGTTCCGGAGCTGTGTTCCACACCGCCGCCGCCCGCCGACTACGCGTGCGCACCGATCTGCATGTCTTATATAGCCCGGTCCAGCGACGTAGCTTCGTGAACAACAAACAAGTCTCACGCCGGGAAACGAAACGTAGATAATTGTATATTTTAAATAGTTTTCATTGGTCATAAAATAAGCAATATAATTGGCTAGGCAAAATATTAATTGTTACCATTGGCAAATCAATAGTGAGCCAGCCATATAAATATAGGCAAGGTTGATGCAAAAGTTATTCCATTCCGAATCCCATTCGACAGTACATTCATAAACATAAACAGTAGTTTCATTTCTCCACCTTAAAGAAAACCACTCGGAGTCTGTTAATAGTGGACAGTTCGTCTCCACTATTACAGCAGTGATTGATGCCTGCATGAGTGCGTAATGTACGCTTATCTGTCACCATTTGGTTTTGTATTAATTATGAATGATGGAATTGATTGATGCCTGTATGAGCATGTAATGTATGCCTAAGAGTCCATACATAGGTGATAAGGGTGTGCGCCCCCTGACGGGTATTTGAAGGGGGAAATACATTCTGCCATTCACTCAAGTGAATTTCTGTGCATTGTACTCTGTATTTTGATAACGGTATGTGATACAACTCTCTGACAGAGAGAAAGAGGCATAACTGATGGTATACATGGTGGAGCAATGTAGCAGTTATATTATGGTTATAGCTTGAATAAGTCAGCCTGACTAGGGTTGGACCACACTCTCACAGATTACCAGCTTATAATAGCAGCTCAATGCTGCTGTTTCATATGATCTTTTTACGGCATTTGATCTTAGACCTCAGGGATGACAACACATCTGTATTTTGAAATGTAGATGTCTATGTAATATAATACTGCATAATTTTGGCATAAGATATACAGCACTTTACTGCTATCCCATTAATTTTTTTAATTTATTATTATGGAATAGATATTACTAAATATTGTCAAAATCTATAATGTTGTCTATTTCACTGTTCTAGTTGATACCATAGGGGAATAAAATTGAGACTTTCCTTTTCATATGTGTGATTTCAGATATTTCGCAAATAAAACAACCTGCTGCATAACATATTGTTGCATGAATAAGTCAACTAGCGCCATCTAGTGTCAGGAACGAGAGCGAGGGGAGCATTGAGAAAATGACATCACAAATCGCTCAACTGACAGCGCCTAGTCGAAACTCGAACGCTCGATACCTTCCGCGTGTTTACTTGAACATTCTGGATATTTCTTTGCTAATTCAAATATATAGGCGCTGCAAGATGCGATCGAGGCAGTGTTGATTCGGCGACACAAGCGCAGCTTCGGAGCGGAATTAAGTGAATTAGTGTGTTTAATTATTAGTGTTTTTAATTTGTGTAAAGTAAATTAAAGTGTTAATTTAGGTACTTTTATCGGCAATTTTTATTGTCACGAACCTCAAGCTCGTAACAATTGGTGTCAGAAGTGGGATAAAATCATGCCGATTTTACCTAAGGAGGAAACGGAGGGTGTCCGTACCCGAAGTCAACGCCAGCAGGAGACGGACCAACGAAGATTTGGTGGTGCAACGCCGCAGACCTCGGAGGGCCAGCCACCGGCTGCAGGCCCGTCGGTAGTTCCTACATCTGCAGCACCTGACTTAGGTGCTCTGATGGTGATGCTGCAGCAGCTGCAGAGCGGACAGGATGAACAGGCCCGTCGGTTAGCAGATCAGCAGGCGGAACAGGCTCGCCGACAGGAGGAACAGGTCCGTCGGTTGGAGGAGCAGCTGCGGGGTGGACAGGATGAACAGGTTCGTCAGCAGGCGGAACAGGTCCGTCAGTTGAAAGAGCAGCTGCAGAGCGGACAAGAGGAACAGGCCCGCCGACAGGAGGAACAGATGCTTCTCATGAAGGACCTTCACGCTACCTTCGTGAAAGAGATAAGGGAGGTGAAGGATAAGGTTGCTCAACATGAAAACCGCCTGTCCGAAGCTGAAACCCGAATTGACCAAGTGAACAATCGGGTTGACAACGTAATGGCTGACATGAGGAAATCACTTGACGAACTCAAACTTGGGGAGGGAACTACAGCTCCCGTAGTAGCTACTACACCTTCGCTACGTGGGTTCAAGATGCCACCTTTCGACGGGACTTCTTCCTGGTCAGCCTACAAAATCCAGTTCGAGGCTGTTATGAAGGCGAACGGCTGGAATAAAAGTCAGGCCATGACTGCTCTCACACTAGGCCTGCGCGACCAGGCCTTAACAATTCTGGAAGCTCTCGGTGAGGAAGTGACTTATGAGCAACTCCTTGAGGCATTGGAGGCGAGATATGGCGACGCTCACCTGGAACACGTCTTTCGTGCGCAGCTTAAAGATCGTGTGCAGCGCATCAACGAAAACCTGCAGCAGTGGGCTCTAGAAGTGGAGAAGCTGGTGCGAAAAGCATACCGGTCTGTACCTGCACTCATTGAAGGGAACCTGGTGCAGACATTCATCGACGGCATCCGCGACCTGGAAGTCAGAGCTGCTGTGAGGCTCGGGCACCACGAGACGCTTAAGGATGCCTTGGCCCATGCACTGGAAGTGGAAGCCGTGCGGCAGGATCATCGTTCCCATCGCGTCAGGGAGGTTGCAGCAGCTACAGTCCGTGACCGCAGCAAAGGATACAGCCCTAGGTGCTATGGCTGTGGGGAAAAGGGCCATCTTCGATCCAGCTGCCCTAAACTAACCGTGGAAAGGAGAATTGATCGATCTCGAGAGGGTAGTACAGCTAACGGCACTGCCTGGCGGCGACAGGATCATCGTTCACCTCACGCTAGGGGAGGTTACAGCAGTTACGGTTCGCGACCACAATAAAAGATACAGCCCTAGGTGCTATGGCTGTGGGGAAAGGGGCCATCTTCGGTCCAGCTGCCATAAGCACACCCTAGGAAGGGAAGGTGAACGGTCTCAGAAAGGAAGTGCGGCTAACAGCACCGCCCAGCAGCAGCAGGAATACGACTTTACTATCAGACACTGCAGCGGGAAATCTCACGGCAACGCAGATGCATTGACAAGAAGACCTTGTCCTGAAGATTGCAACCATTGTAGTAGGCAAGAGAGTAAGGAAATGGTATCCATGAGGATGCTCAGGACAGACCACCTCAGCAACGGGTGGAAGGACAGCCTACGACATGCACAGCAGGAAGATCCGGACATCAAGCCGATTCTGGGATGGATGAAGGCCCGTGCTACCAAGCCTAAGTGGAGGGACGTCTCAGCGATGAGTTCAACCACGAAAAGCTATTGGGCCCAATGGGACAGCTTGCTGATTCAGGATGGAGTCCTGTGCCGTAAATGGGACAATGGTCGAAGGGACAGCTGTCATTTACAAATGGTTGTCCCTAAAACTAAAGTACCGGATGTTCTACAGCTGTACCATAATGATTATTCAGGAGGCCATCTGGGAGTTAAACGAACTCTACTGAAGATCCGAGAACGGTTTTACTGGGTCCACTGTCGAAACGATGTCGAGGACTGGTGTCGCAAATGTACAAGTTGTGCGGCTGTAAAGGGACCTCAGACTCGTAGTAGAGGTGCATTGAAGTTGTACAATGTTGGTGCACCATGGGAGAGAATAGCCATTGACGTGGCGGGGCCATTTCCGGAGAGTGAAAGCGGTAACAAGTATTTCATGGTTGTGATGGATTACTTCACTAAGTGGCCAGAAGTCTTCGCCATTCCAAATCAAGAAGCTTCAACAGTTGCAGATAAACTAGTTCATGAAGTCTTCTGTCGTTTTGGAGTACCTTTAGAGATTCACAGCGATCAAGGAAGGAATTTTGAGTCTCAAATATTCCAGGAAACTTGCCGAGTTATGGGTACTCATAAAACAAGAACGACTTCTTATCACCCGCAATCTGATGGAATGGTGGAACGATTTAATCAGACATTGGAGAGGTACCTAGCAAAAGTTGTAGACAATCGGCAACGAGATTGGGACAAGCACATACAACCGTTTTTGTTGTCATATCGAAGTTCTGTTCACGAAAGTACAGCAGTGACACCAGCTTTCGCAAACTTTGGAAGAGAATTACGGCTGCCTGCAGACCTGATCACCGGGATACCACCCGATGCTCCACGCAGTATAACCGATTATGCAAATGACTTGCGGAAAAAAATGAATGACGTTTATGAGCACGTCAGACAATCGGGCCAGCAAATGTCTGAAAAGATGAAAACCCGGTATGACCGCAAAATGAACAACAAAGGTTTCGACGAAGGTTCACTTGTGTGGTTGCACAATCCAGTCCGGCAAAGGGATATCTCCTAAGCTTCAAGCTAAATGGGACGGCCCGTACCGGATTGTAACCAGGATCAACGATGTGACCTACCGGATACAGAAAGGCGCAAGAGGGACTCCTAAGATCGTTCATGTGGATCGCTTGGCGCGTTATTATGGGACCGATAATGCTCGGGACGAGCATGTCTTAGGAGGGGGCAGTGTTGCATGAATAAGTCAACTAGCGCCATCTAGTGTCAGGAACGAGAGCGAGGGGAGCATTGAGAAAATGACATCACAAATCGCTCAACTGACAGCGCCTAGTCGAAACTCGAACGCTCGATACCTTCCGCGTGTTTACTTGAACATTCTGGATATTTCTTTGCTAATTCAAATATATAGGCGCTGCAAGATGCGATCGAGGCAGTGTTGATTCGGCGACACAAGCGCAGCTTCGGAGCGGAATTAAGTGAATTAGTGTGTTTAATTATTAGTGTTTTTAGTTTTAATTTGTGTAAAGTAAATTAAAGTGTTAATTTAGGTAATTTTATCGGCAATTTTTATTGTCACGAACCTCAAGCTCGTAACAATATTATTAATATCTTATATCATATTATTAATATAAGAATCAAATTATTTTTATCAAGCAAACTATAGCTGTAGACACCCTACTGTTGGACACAGGCCTAATTACGGCTGTGTTCCGACATACACCGCGAGCACTGCTCAATGAGCTGGTTTCACTGGTGAAAAATTTGTCCATTATGGACTATCACTATACTTTCGCAGTACCCTAAGGAAATATATGACATCATAAATTGTCGCCATTTTTGTACTATAAGCACTGGCGCTTTGGAAGTAAGGTGCTCTCAGTACTTTGATCATGTAATCAAAAACATAAAAATGCCCAGAGGTTTAACAGCTTCCAAACAAAACAAATGATAGTTATTATTATTAATTAATATTGTTCTTCAAATAAACTTGGGCATTAAGTTATAAAAGCAATAACATTCAAATAATAATTTTTCTTGTTGAACAGAAATTGACAAGTCCTCTACGTATTTAAAATTTCTCAGATATGCAAATTGTATAGCAATGTTTTCTTCACAGCAGTTTGGTAAAATTGTATTATTAACTTGTTGAAAAAATCTGTATACACGTGAATTTAATACAATTAATAAAACGGTAATAAAAAATTTACTGAGAGCCTCTAAGTCATACCTCTTCAGCGTCAATCATAGTGATGTCAACATCCCATGGTATCACTTGATTATTGCCTGTCCGCACCACTTCGCACATTTCACACGTCAAATTCCTAAGCTTCAGCGCTTTGGAAAGCGCATCTCGAAGGGTAACCCCTTCTTTCACTTGCACACTCGTACGCTGCTGGTTTGGAAGGTGTGCTCGCAGAAACACCTTCGGCTGACGCGTAAGAGTATCGTACTTTTTTGAGTCATCCTGTAATGAACACTCTTCACTCCTATCGGGGGATTCTGATTGTAAGAGTTCTCTTAAAGTTCCTTCTAAGTTATGCAACTTCGATGTCAATTCTTGGTACTCGGACAAATATAACGGCGGAGGATGCTGGAACCCTGCAAATTTCGCGTTCAGAGCGTCAATATTTTCACGGGTTACGTTTATAATACTACGAATATTCCTAATTTCGTATGTTGGGTCCGCTAAGTCGTCACTGTCCGTGGATGTCGACATATTGTCACTATTGAGCGATAATGCAGGTATATTTCCATTAAATTTTCTTGAAGAATTTTCTTTCTCTCTAGTAACTGCCATTTCTTTCCTTTTTTTATTTTTTCTTAAATTTTCTCCGCGCACACTCGCGCAGACAAGACAGGTGTTATTTGTTGCCATTAGAGTTCTGGTTCATAACTTATTGTACTACTTAAATAATGAGTAGAGTAAGTATAATTGGGTAATGAATTACGACTATTAAATCTTAATAATCATAAAAAATATTTTAAGTATTATCTTGATTTTGCTGTTTATTTTAATATTATTTCGGTTATTCAATCAGCTGAGCTAGTAATAGATAGCAATTATTTGCTACCAAAGATTATAGAGCTCTTCTTATTATTATGATTATAGTTTGTACCACTGGTTTGTATAACCTGGCACAGAGCCAGGTATACAAACCATTATATGCAGTAATCTATGGACCTGTCATTCAAAATCAGACAAGTCACTCAAAGGTTATTATAGGTACGTAGTACTATTATTTATTCTGTGGATTGTCAACTGAACGTCAATAAAGGTTTTACGCGTTTTTGGTGTCATTTTAATTATTTTAAATTTTCTTGTAATATTCTGATTACATTCCTTATATATTTTAGTATATATTAATAATATTTATCTGCATTTTCATATTGTATCTCATTTAGCGACAATGTCATACTATCACAAAACAGTTTAACGTAGCTTTAGTCTCTCGGTCGCGATGTCTAATCCAATTCCGCCTAAGCCACCGGATCCGAATTATTCTGACACTAACATTATTTCCTCACCCGCTGCTTATGTTGAAATTGAAAATGATTTGGAAGGTTCATTTAAAAAACCACGGCAGTCATTATCGTAAGAAATTTTTGACGACAACTTCAAAATTATTTGAAACTAAAAGAAACTTCCCCCCCCCCCCCCGAACGGGTTCCCACCTTGTCGTGGCGGGGGGGCTTAGTAGCCGTGGCTTGGTCTCCCACGGTGAACAAAGAGGAACCCACGTGGCTGGCCCGAGGTGAAGGGCCGGCCTGAGGTGGCCACTCCGAGTGGGCTTGGGGAGCCCACTTCGGATGTGTGCTGGTGGACTGCAACGAGTGGGGACTCCGCACCCTCTACCGCTGCAGCCGAGGTGGAGTCGCGGAGGAAGAGGAGTGTTGCTATGGCGATGCGCCACTCGCCCTATCCTCCGCGACTCAAACGGGGCCGCACCGTTTATGCGGTGGTGATGGGGCTGCGGGGGGAGAGGATTGTCGGTATTGCGAGGCGCCGCTCTCCCTATCCTCCGGAGCCGAATCTTAGTTGGCGTCGGAGCCATAGACCAAATCCGCCGCTGGGGTCGGGAAGGCTAGTACTTCTAAGTGCTCGTTCTTCCTCGCCCCATGGCCTTCGCACATCGGACGCGGGGGCGTCTGTTGCGCAGATGAAATTGGAGGCCGTGGAGGAAGGCGTGCCATGTGTTCTGGTGCGCCTTACTTGGGAAGGAGAACGGGGAGGAATATTCCTCTCCCGAGGAGGTGCTGCCATGAGGCGGCAGTCGCTGGTAGGGCCGCGGAAGTGTGCGAAAGCGTTCCCGTAGCCCTGCCAATATGCGACGAAGGTGGAACACCATGGGGTTTTAGTCGGTGCGAGTCCGACATAACCCGTCCTTGCCCCCGCGAGGCGGGTATGCGTAGGCATTTCCCCATGTTAAAAAAAAAAGGTTAGAGCATTTTTGGGTTTGTGCTCCTATTACCGGCGATTTGTGAAGAACTTTGCAGATATAGCCAAACCTCTGCACAAGCTAACCGAGGAGAAGCGACATTTCTGCTGGGATGAAAGTTGCAATATCGCATTCCAGGAGCTCAAGGACCATCTGTGCAAAGCACCTATTTTGGGATACCCTGATGCAAGCAAAGAATTTATAGTTGACACAGACGCAAGTGATATAGGACTTGGCGGTGTGTTGTCTCAACGGAATGGTGACCAAGATGTCGTGATAGCGTACTTCAGCAAGTCGTTGTCAAAACCGGAAAGGAACTATTGAACAAGACGCGAATTGCTAGCTGTGGTAAAGTCGTTGCAGCATTTTAGCAAATATCTTCTGGGACGAAAATTTCACTTACGAACTGACCATGCTGCACTAAAATGGCTATTGCAGTTTAAAAATCCAGAAGGACAAGTTGCGAGGTGGATTGAACTACTGCAGGAATACGACTTTGAGATCGAACATCGCAGCGGAAAATCTCACGGCAACGCAGATGCATTGTCAAGTAGACCTTGCCCTGAAGATCGCAACCATTGTACTAGGCAAGAGAGTAAGGAAGAGGTATCCGTGAGGATGCTCAGGACAGATCATCTCAGCAACGAATGGAAGGACAGCTTACTACATGCACGGCAGGAAGATCCGGACATCAAGCCGATTCTGGAATGGATAAAGGCCAGTGCTCCCAAGCCCAAGTGGAGCGACGTCTCAGAGATGAGTTCGACCACTAAAAGCTATTGGGCCCAGTGGGACAGCTTGCTGCTTCAGGATTGAGTTCTGTGCCGTAAATGGGAAAATGTTCGGGGAGACAGCTGTCATTTTCAAATGGTTGTCCCTAAAGCTAAAGTACCGGATGTTCTACAGCTATACCATAATGATTGTTCAGGAGGCCATCTGGGAGTTAAACGAACTCTACTGAAGATCCGAGAACGATTTTATTGGGTCCACTGTCGAAACGATGTCGAGGACTGGTGTCGCAAATGTACAAGTTGTGCGGCTGTAAAGGAACCTCAGACTCGTAGTAGAGGTGCATTGAAGTTGTACAATGTTGGTGCACCAAGGAAGAGAATAGCCATTGACGTGGCGGGGCCGTTTCCGGAGAGTGAAAGGCGGCAACAAGTATTTCATGGTTATGATGGATTACTTCACTAAGTGGCCAGAAGTCTTCGCCATTCCAAATCAAGAAGCTTCAACAGTTGCAGATAAACTAGTTCATGAAGTCTTCTGTCGTTTTGGAGTACCTTTAGAGATTCATAGCGATCCAGGAAGGAATTTTGAGTCTCAAATATTCCAGGAAACTTGTCGAGTTATGGGTACTCATAAAACAAGAACGACTTCTTATCACCCGCAATCTGAAGGAATGGTAGAACGATTTAATCAGATATTGGAGAGGTACCTAGCAAAAGTTGTAGACAATCGGCAACGAGATTGGGACAAGCACATACAACCGTTTTTGCTGTCATATCGAAGCGCTGTTCACGAAAGTACATCAGTGACACCAGCTTTCGCAAACTTTGGAAGAGAATTACGGCTGCCTGCAGACCTGATCACCGGGATACCACCTGATGCCCCACGCAGTATAACCGATTATGCAAATGACTTGCGGAACAAAATGAATGACATTTATGAACACGTCAGACAATCGGGCCAGCAAATGTCTGAAAAGATGAAAACCCGGTATGACCTCAAAATAAACAACAAAGGGTTCGACGAAGGTTCACTATTGTGGTTGCACAATCCGGTCCGCAGCAAAGGGAAATCTAAGCTTCAAGCTAAATGGGACGGCCCGTACCGGATTGTGACCAGGATCAACGATGTAACCTATCGGATACAGAAGGGCGCAAGAGGGACTCTAAGATCGTCCATGTGGATCGCCTGGCGCGTTATTATGGGGCCGATAATGCTCGGGACGAGCATGTCTTAGGAGAGCGCAGTGTTGCGCGGCTAAGTTGACATCTGGCACTAGCGCCATCTAGTGTCGGGTAACGGAGCGATGGGAGAGCTTTCCAGAAAATGACATCACTAAGATTAGTGTCAACCGACAACGCCATCTGTTGTCGAAATGAAGAACTAAGCTTCTGGAAGCTGACTCTCGAACTTTCGGCGCTTTGTCGATTGGTGCGCGTATTTACTTGAATGTTCTGGATGATTCCGTACTAATGTGTATTTATAGGCGCTGCAAGGTGCGATCGGGGAAGTATTGAAGTTGGCGAGACAAGCGAAGCTTCGGAGCGGAATAAAGTGAATCAGTGTGATTAATTATTAGTGTTTTAAGTTTTAATTTGTGTAAAGAAAATTAAAGTGTTAATTTAGGTAATTCTATCGGCAATTTTTATTGTCACGAACCTCAAGCTCGTAACAATACCATCGTCCGAAATATGATTCACGGTCCATGTGGAGCACAAAATTCAATATCGCCATGTATGAAAGCAGGAAAATGTACAAAGAAATTCCCTAAACAGCTATTAAAAGAAACAGTACAAAATGACAATGGCTACCCTTTATACAGACGCAGAGTTCCCGAGGATGGTGGCAGGAAAGTTACAATCAAATCTCGCTCTGGAGCGTTCGAAACCTTAGATAACAGCTGGATTGTCCCGTATTCGCCCATTCTATGTAAAATGTTTAATGCCCACATTAATGTAGAAGCATGTAGCTCTTAGGAAGGAGTGGAAACGCCGTATTCAAGGCGCGCCTGTTGCAAATTGGCCCGGTGTAAAGTCATCAGATGCCCTTGGTCGTGTGTATACCGTCCATATAACTAATTTTGAATGTTTCTTTTACGATTGCTGCTGCACCATGTTCGGGGTCCTACAGGATATAAAGACCTTAAAACTATCAACGGTCAATGCCTAAGAGAAGCGAAGCTCTGCATCTTTTAGAAAACGATAATCACTGGGATGAAATCATGGAGGAAGCTGTGTAGTGCCAGTCACCAGACAAAATTAAGGATCTTTATGCAACTCTCATATCATGTTGCGGGCTATCTAATGCACATGAATTGTGGGATAAATATAAAGAATACATGGCGGAAGATATTTTGCGAAGGTTACAGCAGACGCACGCGAATATGACATACAATGAACACATTTATAATGAAGCACTTGGAAAAATTGAAGATAAAGTAATGGAAATGGTAGGCAAAAAATTAAGCGACTTTCGAATGATAAGCCCTCAGCGAACAACCGAAAATGAACTAAGTGATGAAATTATACGTGAAACAAATTACGATATACCAGCTTTGCAGCAGCAAGTAGCCGAATTTGTACCCCGCTTACTTCCCGAACAAAACTAATTTTTGACAAAGTATTAGGACAAA